TTGGGTCGTCGTACTGGCGTTGATTCTGACATGGATGACCAAGGTGATGCGAGCGCTGACGACGATGAGGACGTCGACGGCAATGACGAGGGTTAGTGACCTATTTCGGTGAGCGACAAATTGCACCACAACAATATTCTCTCGGATGCTTACAATCGCCTTTATTCTTGTTAGACGACGAGGAGGAGCCGCGTGTTAACGGTCAGGCAGGGAGAGGTCAACAAGTGCGACGGATCATCGGACCGTTGAACAAGAGTACAAGTACCGCTCGTCAGCGAGACGGCAACGGCACAACGGGTACGGCCCCCAACGGCACTTCGTGAGAGCAGAGCTTATCCGTTCCTGTAGTTTGCTTGGGTGATTGCACTTATGTTTCAGTACATCCGCTTGCCCTTTCGCAGGTCTCTAGCATTGGGATGGTGCCAAGCACGGGGCCCGCATTGTATGTGTTCTTGCCTAGTCAGCCGAGAACACACTCTGCACGCCTCACACTCTTGTACCCTCCCTGCCATCACCTTGGAACACACAGCCCAGGGTGTACGCACGAAGGGCGTCAACGAACTGAGCGGACGCGCTGCATTCCACCATGGTAATGGGCATGGATGGGCGACCCCGGACGACGACATCGCCCATGAATATGACGTGTGCTACGCGAACCGTGTAGGTCAGTTTTTTTTTAGCTGCGGTGCCATTTCTCAACGTCTTTGTGTTTAAGAATATTCTCCACCTGTGATTTTTTCTGCAGACGAAGAGGAGGAGCAGCGTGGTCATGGTCAGGCCGGGAGAGGGCAACATGGGCGTCGGGTCAATGCGCAGCTGAACAAGAGTACATGTACCGCTCGTCTGCGAGACGCCAACGGCACAATAGGTACCACCGTTGGCCTCTGCTTCGCAAATTTCAAGGAGTGCACACTAGCTGTACAGTATTCACCTTTGTTACAACGATAACCCGCGTACTCCATAATATGACAATGTCAAATTGGCGTGTTTTACATTTCTGCCTCGACAACACGCTGCACGCCTCACGCGTCCTGTGTACTGATCCTCCCCTCGTTTTTCTCCACACTGCCCATGCAGAACGCACGAAGGGCGTCAACGGACTGAGTGGACGTGCATTTCATGGCCTCACCGATTTTGGCTGGACCGAGACTCGCCAGGATGATGGCGACACAAGCTACTCTACGCTTACGGCCCAGGTTGCGGAGCTGCACCGTGGCATGCGAGACAACAAACGAGTGTTGACTGAACTCAATTCGTTCTTGAGACAGTATCTCCCTAAGCAGGTCACAGCCGCTGACGTTAGACGCGCGATACAAGAGGCTATGACAAGCCTCCCCATTCCTTCGCCGTCTCAGCAAACCGCTGCGCCGGGTTCTGGTAGTAACGACCCGTCCCCGCCGGACTTCAATGAGGAGGTCGCCCTAGCGGCAAAGGCGTTAATGTCGCCCAATGCTATGTCGGTAAGCCTTAGGGTGCATTATTTGCTTGGTAGTTGCGGTCGACTGGCATTAGTGGATCCGTAAATGTAGCTATCGTGAATGACTTCTGGCAACGTCCCTTGTTTCTGCTCTATCCTGTACCCCGCATGCGCCCCATGTGCACCCTTCCTCTCCCCCGTGTGCTTCACACAACATCCTCGTGAAGGCGGAAGGCGGCGGTGACGGTGTCTCGCACGGGCAATGTGCGCATTGAAGCGCACATACCCTCGGTATCTCCCTCTACCCCGCGTTGCATCACACTGCACCCTCAGGGAGGCGGAAGGCAAGGTGAAGGAGTCGACCACGGGCAAGGCATGGCTGGCAGCGCTCCTCATCTTAACCTCCATCTTCCCCCCTCTCCCTCCGTGTGCAGCCTGTGGTGCAGCGGACTGCAAGGAAGAGGCGTCATACCTCAAGCAATTCGCGGCTGGAAGCTCACATTCCCTCTTCCTTGTCCGCCGCTACTCCTCCTTTCCCTCACTTCTCCCTCCCACTGCAGGTGAGTGGGGGCGGACGGAAAGGCGACGACGTGGAGAAAGGGGGAGGCGCAGACGGAAGCACCTATTCCTTTCACCGTTCGTCGATCCTGCGCTGTCCCTCCCTCTCCGTAACCTTCGCAGGTGATCGGCGGTTGTCGGCATCGTATTCGCGTCGAGAAAGGGCAGGGCGCGGCAACCTGCGCTCCCATTCCCTACGCCGTCTGCCGCTCCTCCTCCTTTCCTCCCTTATCCCTCCCTCGGCAGGTGAGGGGGGCGGCCTGCGGCGAGTACGGGCAAGGCGCGAGTGGCAGCGCATCTCCCCGTCTCCGTCCGGCCTTTCTCCTATGTAACTCCATCTCCCCCACTCTCCCACACCCTGGCAGAAAAAGCTGGTGCCAGCCTATTTGCGATGCTTCTCACGTGTCCCTGCTGAGGGAGAGAGGCAACTGTCCATGTGGCCGAAACCGGTTGTCGCTGCGCAGGCATGTCTTGAGATCGAGCTCATAAGGCCTGTTCAACTGCCTGCGTTGAAACTATGCTTGACGGACTCGATACCCCACATCAAGGCGTGGAACAGGATGACGACGCGTATTCGGGGGGCCATAACGCGGCACGGGAAAACTATAGTGTTTCGCGCAGTGGGCATTCCACGGGAGTGCGCGGACATGCCAACCGATGTTCCGTGGCGCAAGGTGAAGACTAAGATGCAGCGCACGCTGCAGCAAGCCTACAGCGACTTTATCCCACGTACGTATTCCCAACCCATGCTCTGCTACGTGCGTGAGAAGCCTAGGGTAGTTTGTGAGAGAGTGTCAGCACTGAATGTGAGCTCCACCATCTTGCCCCCTTTCACCCAGAGCAAACTATTCTAAGAGGCCTGAGGCCCTACAATGGGTATAGGCGGGGATGGCGGCTTGTCAGGCCGTTCAACCTGCGCCATGCTCACCGTATTTACCTTGCTTTCCTTCACTCTACCGACCACCACATCCACAGCCGACTAGCGGCGGCGGACGGCAAGGTGACGGCGGGGAAGCTCACCTTCATCTTCTCGTATCTCTGCCCCTTCTACTCCTTACCTCCCTCCCCCTCCAACAGCCAACAAGCGGCGGCGGTCGGCAAGGTGACGGCGTCGAGCGCAACCCTGGCGGGGACAGCAGGTCACATTCCACTCATCCGCTCTCCACTCCTCAGATTTCCCTCCCTCTCCCCTCCACCCACGGCAGGGTGAGCGAGTCAAGGGTGAGCGGCGAATAACGGCAGGGTGAGCGAGTCAAGCATGAGCAGCTCACCTTCTCTTCATCCCCCTCACTGAACCCACCTCCCCCATCACTTGTGCTTCCCCACCCAATCCAATAGGTGGGTTCTCCCTCACGTGGCATTGTGACGAGAAGGGGATGCCGTTTGCAACGGTGCAGTTTGAGATCTTCATTGCAGCTGCGTACAGTCGGATCTTGGATGGCAAGACCGTCAGGGTGTTCCCCTACACCCTGGGTTACGCGCTGTACGGGGTGAGTCATACTCCCAGCCTTGTGAATGTTGTGTTGTTTCCGCTGGTGCCGAGAGTAGTACCCTTCTGCCCACCCACCCTGCATGTCATCTTTAGGGCCTGGCTTATCCTTGCTTGTCTTGTGGTGCAGGCTGAGTATCCCATCCTGCATTACACTAGTGGGAAGATGGGACTCCCCACGAAGGATTCACCAAATGTGCACAACGCCGCGCGCATGTGCGCCATCGTGCGCAACTGGCTGCGGACAGCCATTCTGCAGTGGGCTGGGCAGGATGATGGGCCAGTATGGGTGGCTGACGAAGAGGCATGGAGGTTTAGCCCCGGCAAGTACTTCAACGTCTTCATCAAGTACCCACACTTGGAGGAAGTGAGGGGCCTCCCGGAGGAGATTGTGGGGGATGAGAAGGAGGACAAGGATTTTGCAGATGTTGATGCAAGCGTGGGAGGCGAGGAGGACGAGGATGAGGATGTCTAGACAGTGTGTCGTAGTGGTTTTGCTCCCGTGTGCTGTCACGGTTTATTGCAGCTGTTTGTATTGTTGGTTAATCATTTTTCATGGGAAAAAACCATGCAGGATATTAATTATAGAACAATATGTGGTGTTTTAAATGCAATGTACGTTGTGTTACATGCTGTAACATGCGTTACCCTGTAATGTTGGGCGGAGTAGCTACACTGTAACTAGTTATTATACAGGATGTTCCCGATGGGCTACTACAGAGTCAGTCCGTACTGCACCGCCAGCCAACCTCAAGGGGTAGCGTTACGACACAGCACATGCATGGTGGGAACTCCTCACATCCGCGGAGTAGGAGCAGGGTTGGGACATTGTACCTACTCCACGCTGCGGTGGGTTGTTGTTTGTATGTATCAGCACATATGCGTACATACCCCCCAGCAGTGGAGTTGCTACATAGTAAGTACACAGCACGTTTATAGTGCATAGTATGCACGTTCGCGTTAACAACTTTGGGATGGGAGAGCGTGTGAGGCGCATGGATGAAGCCGTGGCATTGCGACAGCGACGGGCCCGCGCGAGTGGAAGTCATTAAGCGAATAATTGAGTACGGCCCACGACATCCGCTCAACCTCTCCATTGTGTTCTACAAATGCGTCCATCACGTCGCTTAAGGCTCCACCTTGGAGCTCGTTTTCCGAAGCTTTCTCACGAGAAAAGCAGCATCCGTGCACCTTTCTGATGCCCTCTCCTTTTCGCATAAAACACGGGTCGATTATTTGTAATCTAACCACGGCAGTGGCTCCGTGTGCTGGCAGGCACGCGGCAACGATCCACAAGGAGGCGACTGTGAGCAGCGCGGTGTGGCGGGCGGCGCTGCCCAGCGTGGTGGTCCGACTCGAAGACACACTCTACTGCCGCGCCTCCTCGCTAGTACGCTCTCTCTCATAGCCCGCATTCAGTGCATTTATTTGAAAAAGAACACGTTAATTGAGCTGGCTTTGCTCACCGCAAGCATTGAAGCGGCCTTTTGACACATGGCAAGTGGCTTGCTATGCACGGGTCGTGGTGTGCGACGCATGATAATGGGTGCTTCATACCTCCGTGTGGTCGCGCAGAAGGAGTATTCCGAGCAGCGCACGCTAGCGCCGCGGCTAACGGCGGCGTTGGAGGCGGTGATTGGCCGCACGGAGCGCGAGGACCGCCACTTCCTCGCGCACGGCCGCTGGGACCCCGCGCCCACCTCACCCGCCTCCCCCGCAGCCTCCGCGCTTCCAGCGCCGTCTCCCAAACAGCCTGTGGCACAGCAAGGCGAGCGGCGTCTCCTCCTTCCGTGCGTGGAAGGTACTTTCTGTTCCTGCGAACGCGCCGTTTGTGTTGGCAAGTTGCGTCCATTGGATAAGCGCGTCTGTTCCTCTTCGTGTGCCGACGAGTGCAGGGGTGATTCAGCACCGGTCTCCCGCTGCTTGGGAGCGCGGCGTTGTCGGACAACGACGAAACTCGCCTCCCTCCCATGCCGCGTGTTGTTTGTCGTTTCAGCGTCCCTCGCGCTCTTCCCTCAAGCGAAGCCTCTATCACCTCAGTCCGCCAGCGCCGCTCACTCCGCCTTCTCCCGCCGCGCCCTTCGCCAGATCGCACCCGGCCGAGGCGTCCCTCGCATCCCGCCGGCTGCCACGAGGATCCCCCACGGCAGCAGCAGCAACAGCAGCAAGCGACAGAGCGCGGTGAGGGCGCGGACGGGCGGAGCACGGGGGGGAATGGCGAAGAGGGAGACGCGAGAACAGGACCTTCATGGCATCGGCAGCGGCAGCAACAGCCCTGCCTTGCCTCTGCGCCCCTGCCTCCCTCACACACTGCCTATGGCCATGGCGCCTGTGCGCCCCGCTCTGCATCCTGCCAGCACAGCAGTCCCCGCCTTGCCCGCCTTACCACCACAGCATGCCGCACACGCCTTCCACTCGCTCCCTTCCATGCCACCCCCGATTTTCCAGGCGCAGCACATGGCACCGCCAGTGCCCCAAGCGCAGCACGCGGCAGCTCCGGTGCCCCGAGCGCAGCACAAAGCACTGCCACATGTGCTGATGCCGCCACTGCGACATCAAAGCCAGACGCACTGCGCCTCCAACCCAGCGGCAGTGCGCAGCACACTGGCACCGCGCCCTCAGCCCACGAGCAGAGGGAGCGCATGCGTCGGAGCGGGTGCCGTGGTCGCGCCAGGAGCACTGCAGCAGTTCCCTCGCGCCCCCTCTCCCGCCCAGCCACTGATCGCTGCCCCCTCACCACCGCTTCCCTCGCCGCTGCAAGGCGACCCCGCACCAGCAGAGCGGGCGCAGAGCGGAATGAAGAGGCGGCTGCCGCATGATGCTGCAGCTGGGCGACTCCCCTCACCATCCCTCCGCCCCCTAGCTCTCACTGCTCACAGTGCCTTGCCACCTGCTGCCCACGCAACTGCCGCTCCTGCCGCCCACGCACCTGCCGCCCACGCACCTGCCGCCCACGCACCTGCCGCCCACGCACCTGCCGCCCACGCACCTGTCACCCACGCATCTGCCGCCCACGCACCTGCCGCCCACGCACCTGCCGGCCACGCACCTTCCGCCCACGCACCCGGCCTGCCGTCATCAGCCTCAGGGTCGTCTGCGTGTTCCCCTTGCGAGCCCTCTCCCCGGACAGGCGTGGATGGCTCTGCTCTGCCTCCGCCTCGCGCCATGCTCTCCCCGTCCGCCCACCTCATGCAGGCTCACCTTGACAGGTTGCACCTGGAGCAGGCTGTATCTGCCACGCGCTTATCTGTCAAAGGGACGCAGTATGGGAGCCAAGCAGTGCCTGCAGCCCAGACTGGCGAGCATGCAGGGCCGCCAGGCAGCCTCATGGACCATGTCGTGCGCCTGCTGCCCCGCTCCCACCCCCTTCAGACGTCTGCGCCAATGGCAGCACACCACGTGGCAGCAGTGCACTCAGCATCTGCACCTGCAGTGGGTGCAGGTTTGGCTTCGCCTGGGGGTTCCGTGGCAGGACACACTCTAGAGGCGATTCAACTGGCCCTGCGACAACACTTGTCCGCCACCGGCCCTGCTGCCAGCCCCACATCTCTCCCCACAGCCACGACGGTGCATGCTAGAGATCCCCCCATAGCCGGCGCACCACTGGGAAGGACAGTTCCTGACACTGCAGCAACTGCACTCAACCTGGCCTCCTCATCCAATGTCTCCTCCTCCATGTCTTTTCTGCGCCCTGCTTCTGGCCTCGCTAATGACCATCACATCAGTCAGTATGTGCCCGTTGGTGAGGGGCATCCCCATGATAGAGGGATTGAACGCAAAGTCGAGGAAAACAAGCAGATACATGGCGACAGGAGAGATGAGGAGGATGACATAAGCTCGCATGAAGTCCCTCGCCTTTTTGGAGTTCCGCTGCGTCATAAGACATCGAGAAATAATTCAGCTAGCTAGTTCTTTGTAGCTATTTAGGAGATGATTAAATAGAAAGATAGATTCAGATGGTATTTTGTTTTTGTCGTTGTAGGCTAATTTTGACAGCGCTGTTACATGCCTTTATCTCGTTGATTTTGAGCTTGTGTTGGTGACATCGCAGAGCACAAATGACGGCTCGCCACTTGTCAGTCAAGATTCACAGTGCCCTTCTTTGGGATATTTTCGTCGTGACATCTTCCGTCCGCCCGCGCAAGGCAGCACCTGCTCTGTGAAGTCCCAAATTCCAAGGCTGCTGTGTTTCTTCAGCATTTCTGCTCAGCTGTCCTCCTCACGCCTATTCCGTGCATTGTCGCACTTTTTGAACATTTCTCCTTCCTCCTGAGTTTGTTCGGTGAAAGCGCGGATCTAGCCACTTCTCCGAAGCCTGAATCGCAATGAACGGAAGCGATGCCTCAGGATCTGCCACCGCATCAGCCGCGGGCGAAACGCCTGTACCGCCTGCCACGTCACCAGGGACCGACAGGCGCACTGCAGCGCTGGGTGCGCTGGCGGTGCTGCCCGATGAGGTGATCGACAACATCATTGGACGGCTGGGAACGAAGGATCTCATGGCCGCCGCTTGCGTCAGCAGGCAAGCCCCTTTCTCCGCCCGTCGTCAAGCCCCGTTACAATCACTAGCCGCGCGAGAAGGCGCTTAATCACGACCTGTCATTCACGCAACCCCGTCGTTCCCCCTTCCTCCCGACGCTCCGCTTCCCCATTCCCCCCGTGTATCGGCGCGCAGCGTGCTGTACGTGTTCTGCATGGAGGAGCCCACGTGGCTGGCGGAGTGCTTCCGCGAGTACAAGGGCGAGGTGCTGCGCTTCGACCGCTCGTGGCGCCAGACCGTTCTCAATAAGTGCGCCGCGGGAAACGGGGGAGGGGAAGGGGGGCGAAGGGAAGGAGGGAAGGTGGGAAATAAGCGCAGGGGTGGGACAAATGGTCTAATTGGAATTCGGAGGAGGGCGGGGCGTGCGGGGTGGAATTGGGTGTAGGTATGGTGGCTGTAGGCAGCAGCGCGCTCCAAGTCCGACGGACGTTTGGCTCCATCTCATCTCTCCGTCTCATCTCTCCGTCTCTGCATGCGTCCGTCACTCCATGCCTCGCCTCATTGCCGCCTCACTGCCGCCGTTGCTGCCTCGTGGCGTGTTGGACGGGATTGGCATGGCATGGTGTGGTTTGAATTCATGCATGGGGTGCTGGGGTGAATGGGGTCCATGGCAGGTTGTCGGAGGAGAAGGGAGTGGAGTGCCGAGATCTCAAGGAGCCGCTTCACTTCAAAGGTACCGCGCTTGCGATGCACACATGCTCACACACACACACATGCAGGGTCGAATTAGAACACACACACTTGTGCGCATGCACGCATGCAGGCACGCACGCACGCATATTCGTGCTCTGGAAGGTGGGCAATGTAGAAGTGGCAGCCACGCTATCCCCCTTCTGTTCCTCTCCCTTGCGTGCTGCCCCCACCCCCATTCTTCTGTGCCCTTACACACTTCCACCCCGCATATGCGCGTGCGTGCGTGCGTGCGTGCGTGCGTGTGGGCGCGCTCACAGACTTCCAGTCCATGTTTCTGTACCGGCGGTGGTACCGCTGCCACGTGAAGCTGGAGGCGTTTGAGGGCGACACGGGCCACGTGGAGCGCCGCGCTGGCCTCTCCCCTGACGAGTTCCGCCACTCCTACGACGGCCGCCGCCCCGTGCGTTGAGGGGGAGGGAGGGGGAGAGTGGGGGCGAGGGGGGAAGAATGGGGGCGAGGGGGGAAGAGTGGGGGCGAGAGGGGAAGAAGAGGGTGTGGAGTTGAAGGCGGTCACAACAGATTCCATGCCCAGTGCTGTGCTCTGTGCCCCACCACACACGCTTCCCTTGCTGTTCGTGCATGCCCCACATGCAAGCACACACACGCTCTCACTCACACACACACACACACACACACACACACTCACGCATGCACCCACACACGCTCACAAACACACACACACACACACACACACACACACACACACACACACACACTCACGCATGCACCCACACACGCTCACAAACACACACACACACACACACACACACACACACACACACACACACACTCTCACGCATGCACCCACACACGCTCACACACACACATACACACACACACACACTCTCACGCATGCACCCACACACACCCACACACACCCACACGCACACACACAGGTGATCATGACTGACCTGACGGAGAACTGGAGGAGAGCCACGTCACAGTGGAGCATCGACAGCCTGGCGGAGGAGCACGGTGACGTGGCGCTGAAGGTGTCGGTGGCGAATGGGCACACGGTGCGCATGAAGCTGAGCGACTACCGTGAATACGTGGCGGCACAGCACGATGAGGAGCCGCTCTACATCTTTGATCCAAAGGTGACTCTGCTTCATCACCATTCCCAGATGGGGCATGTCAAATCAACCCAGGTCAACCCTTCTCACCCCTGTGTGCTGCCATTCGCCACAAGCATCACCCCGCACTCCACCCCCCTTCACCCACCACCCCCGCACCCCCCCTCCTCAACACCCAACCCCCCATCCCCTTCTGCAGTTCGGAGAGCAAGCACCAGCGCTAGTCACAGACTACTCGGTGCCGCCGCACTTCACGGAGGACGTGTTTGAAGCCATGCCCGCGCTCAACCGCCCCATGTACCGCTGGCTCGTCGCGGGCCCCCAGCGCTCGGGCGCGGGGTGGCACGTGGACCCCGCGCTCACCAGTGCCTGGAACACTCTGCTCGCGGGGAGAAAGCGATGGGCGCTCTACCCGCCCGGGAAGGTGCCGCCAGGTGTCACGTTACGAGTGGATGATGACTCGGGCGATGTGGATTACGATGGGCCCACGTCGCTCAAGGTGAGTTGAGTGTTGGGCGGATTTAAAGGGACAGCTCAGCTGTTTCAGTACACTTACGGTATGCTACCTGCTCGTCCCCCTTGCAGTGGTGGCTGGAGGTATACCCTTTCCTGTGCCCGGAGGACAAGTAATGCACTGCTGAGGCCATGTCTGAGGCGCCTCAACAACCGTGCGCCTTTCCCACTCTCACCGCCCCCCCGCCTCTCCTTCCACCACCCCTTTCCAGTGGTGGCTGGAGGTGTATCCTCTCCTGCGCCCGGAGGACAAACCAATGGAAGTCATGCAGCGACCAGGCGAGACCATCTACGTGCCGTCAGGGTGGTGGCACAGCGTGCTCAACCTCGACCTCACCGTCGCTGTCACGCAGAACTTCGCCTCTTCGGCCAACTTTGACTGCGTGTGCCTTGACATGGTACCCGGGCGGCACAGGGGCGTGGCGCGCGCTGGGCGACTGGCGATCGAGGCCGGGGAGAAGTGGGACGAGCGACTCAAGGCCATGTATGGGGAGGGCGAGGAGGAGGAGGATGAGGATGAGTGGGAGGAGGTGGAGGACGGCGAGGAGGTGGAAGGGAGTGAGGAGGGGGAAGAGGAGGGGGAAGAGGAGGGGGGGGAAGGGGAGAGCGAGGGGGAGGAGGGGGAGGGGGGCACGTGGAATGGCATGCAGGGGCGGCTGTCAGCGTTGGCAGCGCAGCAGTTTCTGAGCGAGGGGGGCAACGAGGGGTGGTCCATGCCTGAGATCCGTATCCTGCTGCGCTCGCTCTGGCCCGCCCAGCCCCAGCTTCAGGATCGCATTTGGAAGGTGCGGCTCGCTGCACTGCCGTGCTGCCATGCTGCCATTCTGCCTGTGTGTGTGTCCATCTGTGTGTGTGTCCATCTCTGTGTGTGTCCATCTGTGCTCTCACCTCCTCTGTCCCGCTGCCCCACTCTCTACGCACGGATCCTATCATTCGTCCCATGATCCTGGTTCGCCACTCGCCCTCCCTCCTCTGAGTGTGCAGAACGCGTGTCTGTGCATGGATGCTGCCACGTGGCACAGGCGTGTGGTCACAGTGTGCCAGGCACACGGCCTGCCCGCCCCCAACGGCCTGGACGCCCTCCCCCTCGGATCCGGATCCAATGCTGTGAGCCCACCCACTCCCCCTCTCTCTCGCCTCCTCCCTTCTCACTCACCTCTCTCTCCCTTCCCGCTCTCCCTTGTGCTTGCTCGCGCGCTCTCACATTCGTTCTCAGCCTTCTCTGCATGCACCATTGCACCTCGCATCACCTCCCCCCCGCTCCCCCCTCGGTGCAGGTATACATGGTGGGGCAGCACGTGGTGAAGCTGTATCTGCCCATGGGCTCTCACGATGAGTCTGCCGCCACCTTCCTCGCCAAGGAGGTACCCACCACTGCACGCCCTGCCCTGCCCTGCCCTGCCCTGCCCTGCCCTGCCCTGCCCTGCCCTGCCGTGCCCTGCCGTACCCTGCCGTGCCCTGCCGTGCGTGTCTCTTGTGCGTCACCCAGGTTCTATTGCCAACTTCTTCTGCAATCCCGCTGGTAGCACCGCCCCTCCACTCCACCTCACCACCCGTCCTCCTCACAGCTATCCTTCCCTTCCACCACCACCTAAACTCATCACAATCGTTCCTCCTGCTCCCTGCACCTCCCCACCTCCCACTTCCCCCTCGCAACTCCCCCGACCCCCCTTGACTGTTTCCAGTTGGCCTTCTACCGCGAGCTCCACGCGTCCCAGTCACCCCTGCTGCCCTGCATTCCGCCCCTCGTGGCCTCGGGCCTGCTCTTCTCATCCGGGGTTGTGGACAAGAGCGAGGAGGAGAATGGTGCGAAGGGGCGGGAAGGAAAGGACGGGGCGGGGGGAAAGAAGGACGTGCAGGCGAATGGGGTGGGGAGCAACGGGCGGAGTGCAGAGGGCGAGGGCGGAGAGGCAGGGGCGGAAGGGGCGGAAGGGGCGGAAGGGGAGAAGCAGCAGGAGGGGTACCCGTTTGAGGTGAGCATAGCACCGCAAGAGGAGCAGCTGGTCGCAGCACAGTGGGACGGGCTGACCGAGCACCGGCCTGTGAACCCCTTCGAGGAGGCACAGGGGGCTGTGGCGCGAGGGCGGGCGGGGAAGAAGGGGAAGAGCGGCAAGGGGAAGGAGGAGGGGAGGGATAGGCGGACCCCGGCGTATCGACGGCGCGCCAAGAAGAAGGCTGAGGAGAGGCGCCGGCGCAGGGAGCTGGCTAAAGGGAAGAAGGGGAAGGACGGTGGGGTGGGAGTGGGGGTGGGAGAGAAGGGGGAAACAGAGCAAGGGGAAGGGGAGGAATACGATGAGGAGGAGGAGGAGGAGGAAGAGGAGGAGGGGGAGGAGGAGGGAGTGTGGCCGTACATCATCACGGGGCGGTGCCCTGGGTGGCAACTGGATGCTGTGTGAGTGGCGCACTGCTCATGCTCTCACATGGCTGCGCACACACGCTCACATGCTCACGCTCCAGACCTCTTCCAGTGAACACAGATCCTTACATGCACATTGCTGTCCCCGTCACAGTCCCCCTCTTCGCCCATCCCATTCCTCCCTCTCCCCACCCACCTCTTTCCCTCCCCTCTCACCCCCTCATCCCTCCTGCCATTCACCCCAGTGCGGACCTAGCAACACCAGCGGACAGGCAGGCTCTGGCGGACTTCTTTGCGGCGTGCCTCTCCCACCTGCACTCGCTGCCGCTGCCCGCCTCCCCGCTCTCCCCGCCGTCCCGCAAGGCCAAGAGCAAGAGCAAGGAGGAGAAGGCAGGGGCGCAGGGCGCAGCAGGGGAGGCGGTTCAAGCGAATGGGACTGCAAAGGAGGGGGTGGGGAACGGGGCGGTGGAGAGTGGTGGGAAGGAGGAGGAGCAGGAGGAGGAGGTGGTGGTGAGTGAGGAGTGGAGGCCGTTTGCAGAGATGATGCGCGAGCACAGCAAGTACATCAAGGAGCGACTCCAAGACATGTGAGTGCAGCACGGCGAGTGTGTGAGAGAGTGGGGCACGTGTGTCACAGCCGGGCATCTGGGTGGCAGCAGGGTAATGTGAGAGACGAGATCGCAGCAGTGCCGGTGTCATTCCTTCGCCCTTCCCCCGTGGTTCCCATCCATCCCATGCCAAGCGCCCTCCATGCGTCTCACCCACCTCTCTCCCTTGCTGCACCCCTCTCACACCACAGGGGCAGCCTCCCCCCACACCTGGTGAAGCAGGCAGTGGCCTATCTGCCCAAGGACCCCGCATTGCTCTTCCAAGGCCTTGTTAGTCCCCTCCCCCTCCTGCCACACCCGCTTCCCTCTTCTCTCTTTTGTTGCTTTTTCCCAGCTGCTTGCTCCAACTAGCCCTGCATAAATTCGTCAGCACACCTTACTCTTCCTGTATCTTTTGCTCCACCCTCATTTCCTCTCCCCTATCCTAATACCGTGCATCCCTTGCATCGTACACCCCTCCTCTGGTCACAATCCCGAATCATCACGTGCCACGGCAGGAGCGCCCGTCATGGCTACACACGGACATCATGAGTGACAACGTGCTGCTGGCTGCCGCCTCGCCCGCTGCCACGCCCGTCATCGAGGAGTTTGTTGCGCGCGGCAAGGACGGCGCGGAGAAGAGCAACGGCGAGAAGCCAGGTGCAGGCGAGGGGGGTGGAGAGAAGGAGGTGGCAGCTGAGGGGGAGCGGGTGCTGCAGCCGTCTTCCATCATCGACTTTGGCACCCTCATTCTCGGTGCGCTGCTCCTTCTTGCCTACTTTGCATCCCGGGTCGTCAAGATGATTGTTGGTGCTGAAACACTCGCGCATGTGTTGTGAATCATCAACCCTTGCATGCTGAATCCCCCACCCCTCCCCACACCCCCGTGTGCGTGGCACACCAGGTGACCCGCTGTACGACCTGGTGATGCTGCATGTGAGTGCACAGCGCTGCAACAAGGCCGACCTCGCCAGGCTGTTCTCCACCTACAAGCCGCCACGGCCAGTGCAGGGAGCCGGAGCAAACTTCACCCTGTCCTATCGTGCCATGTGAGTGGGTGGGGATAGGCTCAGCTGCATTTCTTGATAAGGTTGTAGCACAGATTCGTGTGCAGTCAATTTAACCATCTCCTTTCACCATCTTGTGCTGTTCACAGGTGTTACACTCTGCTGAACCAGAACGATGCGCTCAGTCGTGTGTTCCGCTATCGCAAGGAGCTTTCTGACGTGAAGACCTTGGAGGAAATCGCCACTGCAGTGTGGGGCCAGCTGGATGAGTTGGTTTAATAGTCTTATTGTAAATCATTACATTTTACTATTTTGAGAGTATGTTGTGTTGGTGGTAAAGCACATGAGATGGCACAGTGATCAAACCTGGCTGGTTCTAGTTTGTCTGGTATATATCTGCATGATATACTATGTGACAATGATAGGATTTCATAGGTGGCTTCCTACCTATATTTTTACCTCTGCTTTAACTCCGAGGTGTACGCATTGCACTATCTCTGCACTTTTGCTTCGCTTCAAAAGCACTCTTCCAGAGATTCATGTCAAAATACATGGAGCAAAAAAAAGCCAGCTGCACATTTCCTCGGCGGGCTGTGTTGCTGCGGCATGGGCCTGTAACGCCAGCTGCATGGGTGGCCCTGGCGTGGCTCTACCGAACACGTCGTTCTCTGTTTCCATCTCGTGTTCTGCCGCTGCCCGCTGTCCCCACCTGCACCCACTACCTCCACCATGACTAGCCTTGCCCTTGAGCTCGCACACACGTCGCAGCCCTCGCCAGTGCCGTCCTCCGCGCGGTCGATGATACGATATTTGCCACCGCCTCTCGTGCCGCAAACTCGCCATCCACGGAATAAGCAGACTACGCAGAATTCACCCAATAGAAAAGCTTGGAGGAGCTTACCTGGCAGAGAACGAGGATCGCCGTGTGCTCTACAGTGCAGCGCTGCACCCGCAGATTGGCCGTAGGAAGGGAAGGCCGGAGCGATTCGTCCGTCCCAGCATGGTGACGTCTAACTCCCGCGAGCGCGAATTGCGCGCACGAGGCGCGTGTCTTCGCCATGGTCTCTCGCTCCGTGTATAACAAGGTTTGTCGCTCTGCCTCGTGCCTCCCGTCGCCTCCTGCGCTAACACGCTTGAAGCTTGCCCGGGTCCGACTCGACAAGCCCAGCCTTCCAGGAGCCTACTACCGTGTGCTTCCCAGCTCGACGTAACACGCGCGAAGCCTCCCGCGCCATACGCCGCAACCCACTTGATCTGCTTCTTACCGACCTCCCGGGCCCATCGCACGCCACCATCGCGAGACTGCGGCACCGTCGCGAGGCGTGTCACACCTCGCCTGCCGCATGGCCGCGTCCGCATCCACTGAAGCCGACCCACGAGATGCGCGGTTCGTGGGGGCCGCTGAACGCGGGGACCAACTGTCGTTGCGCAGATGTAAATGGACATGCGGCTTAAATGATAGCTGTTTTCCAGTGTGTGTCTCTCGGCGCCCTCGCAACGCCCGATCTAGTCCGCCTCTTGACACCCTGTTCGCTGCGCAACCGGCAGAATCACATCCGCCGGAATCAAATCCGCCAGAATCACATCCGCCAGAATCACATCCGCCGGAATCACATCCGCCGGAATCACATCCGCCAGAATCACATCCGCCGGAATCACATCCGCCAGAATCACATCCGCCGGAATCACATCCGCCAGAATCACATCCGCCAGAATCACATCCGCCGGAATCACATCCGCCAGGATCACCAGGGCCACCAGCACCGGCGCCATCAACGATGGTGGCAGGAGGGAGGCACGCGAGACGGACAGCGACCATGGCGCTGGAGCGAATGATGGTGGGCGACTTGGCTGTCCGGCTGGCGGCGCGAGGCGGGGCAATGAGCGACGAGAGAGGCGGAGGGGCGGGGTGGGAGAGACGCACAGACGTGCTCTGTGAATCTGGCGAGGAGGGTGCTGGAGAGGGAGGTGATGGAACGGACAGTGGAGAGGGAAAGGAGGGCGAGAAGAGAAAGTGTGGATTGATAAATGCGCCAGATGACGGTGTCGGTGAGAGCACGCACGCCACAGCAGATGCGGGAGGTGGTGCATACGGAATGGAGAGCACAGCAACGCCGCCAAGGGCAGCGTCATGTGATGTGAGCGGGGCAGAGGTGGGGTCGGAAGGCATGCAGCAGGCGACGCAGCAGCCCTTGGCCAGGTCTGCTATTCCGAAGAGTGTGACGACTCCCAGCAGCGCGTCCCACTTCGCCCTGGGCGCACCTCTCTCGTGGGCTGTGCTGCCTGACTCTGTCTCCAGCTTCCTCCACAGCCCCACCCCTCTGCACCACAGCGGAAGCGACGCAGCAATCCTACTCGCATCTGACCCAGCTTCTCATGCTGTTGCACCGCTCCGTGCTGCTGTGAGCCCATATGGATTGAGTCTTCCAGCCATCCAGGATACAGCGGAAGGGGAGGTGGCAGCGGCACAAGCGAGGCAGGATGCTGAGGTCAGAGGTAGCAGGCGCCCCGCTGCTATCTCACACCAGTTGTTGAAGCACCCAGAGGAGGTGGAGGAGGGCGAGTGCGATGGCAGTGTGCTGTGGAGCACAAGGTCTGAACGCCTCTTCCCGCCCGCATGGGCAAGGTCCCCGCTGAGGACGGGTGGAACGAGGCATGAGGAGCACGGGGAAGTGGCACGGGCGAAAGCAAGAAGAGCACGAGGTGAGGGTGGTTCGCAGGCAGAGACGGGGATGCTGAAGATGCACACAGTGAATGTGGCGATCCTTGCACGGGAAGCCAACGCCAGACAGGAGAGGCTTGCAGAGGCGCTCAGAGGGGTGAGAGTGAGGCAGACAAAGCCCTCTGGAGCAGGTGTGGCAGAGAAGGCAGAGGAAGGGACGTGCAAGATGGAAGCTGCAGGGGGCAGGCAGAAGCACAGGCATAGAAGGGGAGGGTCGGTGGATTTGGATGCACGGACTCCTCTGAAGGAGCGAACGTCGCGAAACCAGAGGATCCAAGGCGGGAAGTGCAACTTCGTGGAAGATGAGTTTATGGGGATAGTGGAGGAGTTCTTGAATAGGCCCAAGGCTAAAACCGTGCATCCAAAAGGTACCGTTCAGCTGCAAAAGTAGTGTTGCCTTTATGTTGTTGGTTGTTGCTCTGTCTGCTCCATAATGGCTGAGATGCTTCAATTAAAGCCCGGGTACAGCATGGTAATTTTCAAGTTCAAGATTCTTGAACTTGAAATTGCAAAAAACAGGGTTACCCTACATGTATTGAAGAAACTCTCGCAACCCCAGGCAATCGTCCTGCGACAACGGAACCCGAGTGCCCAAAAACAGAACTGACGCGATGATCGCCAACCATATGCACTGTTCACCACTCACATAACTTGCTTACCAAGTCGTACTCATAGACTAGGAGGCTCCAAAACAAAAACTAGCGCTAGTTGGCAAAAGCGAGTCGTTGTTAGGGCTTTTTTTTTGTGCGGAAAAAAAAAATAGGTATCCACCTCAACCATCTTAGTCAGTGCACGCTCCGATTTCCCCCTCACGTCGCCGGTCTCGTGTTACAACCCGTTCACCCGCAGCACTTACGTTAGTGAACAATCGTCGCGTTACTCGCGCCTTGCTTTCAAGCTCGCGTCGCACAAGATGCTCTTTTCACACTTGCTGCGGTTCAGCCTCGCGTCCCGATCGTACCGTTTTAGGCACGGGTCGCTCACGCGAATGCCGTACAGGGTCGCCAGACGCGCGCTGCCGTTAGTCTCATATGTTCCCCCTCGTCGGCCGCTCTTTCCCACGTCATACCGCTTTCCTCGTCGCCCGCAATTTCCCTCATCTCCCTCGCCGACCCTCGCCGCCCTCGCCTCTGCTTGTCGCCCGCGCTTCCCGTCGTCGCCCTTGCTTCCCCGTCACCCGTGCTTCCCGTCGTCGCCCTTGCTTCCCCGTCACCCGTGCTTCCCATCGTCGCCCTTGCTCTCCCGTCACCCGCGCTTCCCGTCGTCGCCCTTGCTTCCCCGTCACCCGCGATTCTTCTCATCTCTCGCTCTCCTCCTCGACGTCTTCGTTTTCCTCGTTGCCATAACGCCCTCGCTTCTGCCCGTCGCCCTCGCCTCCCCACATACCCGCCTCCATCTCCCCCACATACCACCCGCCTTCCTCCCCACATTCTATTCTGCTTGTCATACGCTCTTCTCCTCTTCCTCCCTTCCATCTCTCCCTCGCTCCCTGTCCCTCTCTCTATCTCTCTTTCTTCGAACCTCTCTCTCACCCTTTCTTCCACCCTTCTTCCTCCTGAGGGGAAGGGACTGAATGAGAGACACAGAGGGGATAGGACAGAAGGGTATGCAGATGTTCTTTTCCCCCACGCGCTTCCCCTCATCGCCCTCACTTCCCCCAAATTGTTGCCCCCTGTCTCTGTTTTTCCCAACCACCCGTTCTCCCACCAGCCCTGCTTCCCCCTTTGCCCTGATTCCTTCCACCCTCTGCCCTGCTCCCCCCCATCCCCTTCCCTGCTTCTCCCCACCCTCTGCCCTGCTCCCCCCCATCCCCTTCCCTGCTCCCCCCCACCCTCTGCCCTGCTCCCCCCCATCCCCTTCCCTGCTCCCCCCCACCCTCTGCCTTGCTTCCCCTCATCCCATTCCCTGCTTCTCCCCACCCCCTGCCTTGCTTCTCCCCATCCCCTTCCCTGCTTCCCCCCATCCCCTTCCCTGCTTCCCCCCATCCCCTTCCCTGCTTCCCCCCATCCCCTTCCCTGCTTCCTCCCATCCCCTTCCCTGCTTCCCCCCATCCCCTTCCCTGCTTCTCCCCATCCGCTTCCCTGCTTCCCCCCATCCCCTTCCCTGCTTCACCCTACCCTCTGCCCTGCTCCCCCCCATCCCCTTCCCAGCTTCCCCCCATCCCCTTCCCTGCTTCTCCCCATCCCCTTCCCTGCTTCCCCCATCCCCTTCCCTGCTTCCCTGCTTCCCCCCATCCCCTTCCCTGCTTTACCCCATCCCCTTCCATGTCTCCGTGTTACCCGTTTCCTTGTCCCTTTTCCCTGTGTCTCCCCACCCTCTGTTCTTGTTCTTTCACCCTCGCACACCTTACCGCCTGCCGACCTTACCGCGTGCCCACCTTACCGCCTGCCCACCTTACCACCTTCCCTTCTCATCCGCACGCAGGTGTGCCCGGAAGGTGCACGTGCTACCTTGTGCCTGCCGCTTGCTGTCCACGCCTTCCATCCCACCTCTCCCAAACCACGTCTTTTTCTATATGTGCCTCCCCTGCTGGCCCATACCCTCTGCTGATCTGCGCCCTATGAGGCCGTGCCCTCTGTTGAAAAGTACTAGTAAGAGTTAGGCTTAGGAGCCATAACTTAGGAGTCTTGGTTGAGTTCGAGTAGTTGAGTTAGGAGAGTCGAGAAAGTTGAAAAGAGAAGAGAGAGGTTTCACTATAGAGCGAGCAGTACATATAGGCAAAAAGAAAGGTGCACCACCAAACAGAATATTGTATAACTACAGTAGTCTACACTACAGGCAGTTACAAAACAATATATAGATTTATATATTATTCTGACATGCCCCCATAAGTGCCTGTAGGGAAGAATATGCAGTCAACGCCCCCATAAAGGGGTACACCAAGAGTGCGTAGTAGTACGGGAGAGGGCAGGCAAGGAGGAGGAGAGAGGGAGAGAGAGAGAGAGGGAGAGAGAGGAGAGGAGGTGATAGGCTCTGGTTGGTCACCACCTACATCCCCTCATCCTCCCCCTCCCCCTCCCCATCCCCCTCACACTGCTGCAGGAGCAGCAGAGGGGGGGGGGGGGGGGCAAACGGAGGAGAATGGGGCCGTAGGGCCAGGGGACCAGACATTACCCATCACCCCCACACCCGCCACCCCCAGTCCCTCCCCGGGCTCCCCCACACTCTCACACCCTCCCCCCCAGCGGCAGCTGCAGCAGAGGGAACAAAAGGAGGAGGAGAAGAGGGGGGGGAGGGAGGGGGGGGCCGACGCACGGCCTCCCCGGGCGCCAAAGCAGGCGGCAGAGGGGGCGACGCCTGCCCCCCCCTTCCAGGCCGCACGCGGCCCCCTCAGGTCGCCTCGACAGGTGACGGGAAAAGGGGGGGGGGCGGTGCACGTGCCCCCGGTGTGCCGCGGCTGGCGACAAGGCATGGCCGAGGCGGGGTCGGGGCCGCAAGAGGGCGGGGCCGCAGGTGGCATCGGGGCCTGGGGCGGGTACCGCACGGGCGGCGACGGGCCGGGACGGGCGGCGACGGGCCGGTACGGGCGGCGAGGGGGCCGCAGCGGACGGCGGCGCGTCGTACGGGCGGCACGTGATGCCGCGAAGAGCGGTGACGGGCTGGTACGGGCGGCGACGGGCCGGTACGGGCGGCGACGGGGCCGCAGCGGACGGCGGCGCGTCGTACGGGCGGCACGTGACGCCGCGAAGAGCGGCGACGGGCTGGTACGGGCGGCGACGGGCCGGGACGGGCGGCGACGGGGCCGCAGGAGTAGGGCGGCGAGGCCGCAGTGTAGGGCGGCGGGGCCGCGACAGTAGAGAGGCGGCGAGGCCGCGACAGTAGGGCGGCGGGGCCGCTTAAGAAGGGCGGCGAGGCCGCGACAGTAGGGCACACCACGGGGCGTGCAGTACACTCAGTAGCAGCGGAAGCAGGAGTCCAGGAGCGGAACACGCTCTGATAACATGTTGAAAGTACTAGTAAGAGTTAGGCTTAGGAGCCATAATTTAGGAGTCTTGGTTGAGTTCGAGTAGTTGAGTTAGGAGAGTCGAGAAAGTTGAAAAGAGAAGAGAGAGGTTTCACTATAGAGCGAGCAGTACATATAGACAAAAAGAAAGGTGCACCACCAAACAGAATATTGTATAACTACAGTAGTCTACACTACAGGCAGTTACAAAACAATATATAGATTTATATATTATTCTGACACCCTCTCTGTTCCCCGCCCCTGCATGTACGGAGGGATTGGGAGCCGCTTTGCCTAGCAGCCAGCACTGTGCAGGCAAGGATTCGAACTGGTGGATCATGGGGCAAGGGTAAAGGAGTGTGTTGTGCGGCATGGTCAGTGCGGAGTGGCGTGGGAGGGAGGCAAAATGGCAAGCACAGGGTGAAGGCAGGCAGGGGCCGTGGCAAAAATATGGAGATTGGCAGTGTCAGCAGGATGTGCGGCAGGATGCTGGCGGCAGCGCACGTCAGGGCATGTGCGGTGGGGCAAGGCTGGTATGCGCTACGGTGGGCCGGGGGAGTGCAGATTGGTGCAGCGAAAGGCACGACATGTTCCTATGTGGCCGGCCGAGACCCTTATGAGTTGCGGGATCTGAGCTTGAGAGTGTACGCTTGGAAATGTGTTGCTAATGTGTTTCTTGATACCGTATTTCCCTGGATAAAAGCGCAGGTGCGCTTATAATAAAACAGTGTTTTTTGGGGGGGTGCGCTTCTAATTGAGTCAGAATTATAAGCGCATGCGCTTATAATAGGACAATTACAGAAATACCGTCACCCCCCGGATATACCCCCATGGAGGGCTATAATATAACATGCTTTTTTGAGGGGGTGGGCTTATAATATAGTAAATTTATAAGCGCCGGCGTTTATAATTTGTCAAATTTGAAATTTGTTTTTAAATATACCAAATCGAAGCATTCTCAAAGGCGGATTCACCTGGGTCGAGAACGTTCGAAACTGTGCATGCATTGCGCGTGAAACGGCCAACAAGGCGTGGCTTCCCGCCTTCCACGCCTTGTTGGCCAGGCCAGGTTCATCAAACGTGAACCTGGCCCATGCCAGTGCACACGTACCTCGCATCACAGCGGCCCAATCAGGGTTGCATGCGATCGTGGGCACGTCGTGGTTCAGCCACGGTGTGCCCATCAACAGCAAAATTCCCCGCCACCGAGGCAAGGAGCTGCCCAGCTCAGCTCCTCTGCGGGGAATCTTGACTGGGGCCACCCTTTTCCCGCAGAGGAGGCCGGGCCGCGAAAATGAAGGGGTCTCGGGCGAGGGCTTCATACAGCCCTCATTCTCGACTTTTGCCTTCAGTTTCTTTGTTTGTTTGGCCTGCCGTGGCCATGGCGGGCCTTCCAGGCACGCATTTCTTGTTCCGCCGCCATCCTGCTGCCAGAGAAAACACCCGCCGAGACACCTGTGACTACTCTCAATGGCAGTCGCGCCCTGCGCCCGTCCCTCCGTGTCAACCAGTAGCTCCTCCCGTTCCTCCCACTCCTCCAACTCCTCCTGCACCTCCCGCTCCCCCGGCGCCTCCGGTTCCTCCAGCTCCTCCGTCCCCTCCTGACCCGCCTGTGTTTGGTGCTCCACGTCATGGGGTCCTGCAGCTTCTCCTCCCTCCTGGCTACTCGGCGTTTGACGCGTACCTGTCCGAGCCCGACCGCGCCGGTGGCGCATCGTCTTCCTCCGCACCGTCACCACGCTGGGGAGCCCCGGCTGATTGCCCGTTGGACGAATCCGCGACTGGTGCGGAGGATGACGTGGAGTTTTGGGCTGCCGACGGTCTTCCAGAGCACCTGCCTATTCCCACCTTCCCCCCCCCCAATAAGAAACGGCCCCACCCTTCTCGCGAGAATCGCGATGCCCGTCCTCCCTCCCCCAGGCACAAGCCTTCAAGTCACAAGCGGCACTCTTACACATCGCAGGAGAAACTGCAGTGGATTCTCAAGCTTGAGTCCGGGCAGATGAGCGTGCGGCAGATGTCTTGGATTCGTACCGCGGGCACCTGATTGCGGAGGTGAAGAAGAAGTTCGGGGAGCTGAACATCGTCCCTGCCGTTATCCCAGCTGGCTGCACCTCGGTGATTCAACCTCTGGACGTCGCGGTGAATCGCTCCTTCAAGGCATCCGTTCGCCAGCTCTACCAGGAGTGGTTCGAGAGCGAGGGGGTCGACACCTTGACAAAGAAGGGTGAGAGAGGCAGGCCATGCGTGTGCTGCTTTATCAATTTGTAGCGGTGGCTGACTTTTGATTGTTTAAATTTTATGGCAGGCAACATCAAGAAGCCACCACCCGAGCTAACGCTCAAGTGGATATCAGCGGCTTGGAAGGCCGTGCCCAAGGACTTGATTCAACGGGCTTTCCTCACCTGTGGCATTAGTAACGCCCTGGATGGGTCCCAGGGCAAGATCTGCCTGCAACACAGGCGCGACGAGCTTGAGGGCGACGAAATAGACATCGACGACGACATTGCAGCTGATGGCTTTTTCTGCAACAACGTAGAAGAACCAGAGTCGGACTCTGAGGCCGACCCGGATGATCCTACCGCAGCTGATGACTAGATTACGTAGATCTAGAAATTGCTGTAGCCTGTGAGACTCGTAGGTAGATTTAGAACTGTAATTAGAAAAAACTGTAGATAAACTGACTTTGTAGTTAATTAGATGAAAATATAAGTTGTTAATGTGGTTAGTGAAGCTTGTAGAAAAAAAATATTTAAAAAAGTGGCGGTTATAATGTGTAAGGTACAGGTATGCGGCTATAATCCGTACGACTCTAGGGTATGCGCTTATAATCGAGGAGGGGATATAAGCGCCATATGCCAATTAGAAGCGACAGGCGCTTATCCTAGGGTGGCGCTTATATTCGGGGGGTGACGGTATGTTTTAAATTCACCAAACTGTACATCTCAGTCGTGCAATTTCAATCGAATCAGAACATTACAGCGTCCCAAATCAAAGAATCGCGCGAGGGCGATTTCTGCCGCCGCACAAGGGCGAGGACACGTCACAGCGCAAAGGGATGTGTCAAGCTCGCCCCGAACCAATGTACGAGCCAGTCGCACGGAGTCGCTTGCTCGCAGCGCAGAGGCATAGTCGTTCCCGAGCCCCCCCGCCTGCCCCTTTTTCTCTCGCACAACGCACAGGACAGTCATTTCCAGCGCCCATCTTCCCTCCCCCCCCCTCCCAACGATGTGCTGTCAGTCAGTCATCTTCACGCCGTTTCGCTTCTTTCTCCTGCAATCGCTCGCCTCAAGCGAGTCAAACGAAGTAGAAACGGATTTGGACTCGCTGCAAAAGGGAAATCGTTACTGTATTAATTAGGACTGAACTGTAGAATTATTGATGCGCTTATAATAAGTCAAGGTTTTACAGGGGGTGCGCTTATAATCGAGGATCGGCCATAAGCGCATTGCTCCAGATATAAGCGCATGCGCTTAACATAGGCCTGCGCTTATATCCGTGTCAGAATGTTATCTTATGTTCTAGCATGTAGTGGGGTGCTCTATAGCGAGTACAACCCTTCTAGGGTTTGTTATTTGTATCCCCATTTCTGCTAGTTCAATCCTCTTTCTTCCTTCTAACTTTGTCAATCCGAGGTGATACGGTATGTAACTTTCATGATTCACAATTTGCTTTTCTATGCCAATTCAGCACTTGAAATTTTTATGTTATTCTGAAGTGAAGTCTCAAACTTATCCAAATAATTTAGTTGATTAGTAATCACAGGAAATATTGTTCAGTGTACTGCCTCACTCTTTCTCGCGTGAGTTTCGCGTTCCCCACCATTTCAACCCCAAGAGAAGCGCAGTGTGCCCCACCAGTGCTGGGGCGGGAGCAGTGCTCTATCGCACACTGGGTCGTTCGGCCCTCCCATATCCTCGGGGACAGCTGTCGCATAGTATCGTGGCGAAGACTGTTTTTCCCGCCTCCTGAATTCGGTTTCGCCCCACACACATTTTCGAAATTCACGATTTTCAGGTTTTCGCCTAACTGTTTCAACCCCACATAACTTGAAAAATTACCATGCTGACCTCGGGACTCCACAATTTCAATTAACTCCATGAGTACTCCAGTCCTAGTTATTGGCGCTGAGTGATGGGCGCAACAGTGTTTGTCTCCTCTCAACAGCTGTACATCAATTTGTCCAGCACCAATAGATAGCCTACATCAATAACTCAGCTAGCACAGCTGAGAGAGCCATCTCCTCACGCAACAGTTCACCCGCTGAGCCCGTCCAGAGTGACGGGCACAACAACTTCCTCGTTCCCTCTCAGCAGCTGTACATCAACCTGCGCAGACACAAGTGCCAGTAGCTCATGTCAGTCACAAATTCATTGCCAGGAGGAGCAAAAGCCTAGGCATAAGTACAAGTGCTTCACACGCATCCACACATCCAGTCACCACAAGTAAATGCTCAGAAGGTAGTGACATGAGCACACTCACGGTCTGGCCAACTTGGCACTTATCCAGGATCTTGTAGAGGTCCGAGCCGGAATAGATGGGCTTGCCATCAATGGCCGTGATGATGTCCCCCAGCATTAGCCGCCCAAAGCTGTCTCGTGACGTTGGGCGCAGGCCCTGAGCACAACGTGCACGAGAGGAGTCACTGAGAGGGCTAAATGGCTGCAGTTGCAGCAAGGGATTGACCAATGACCCTGGTGAGCCTGAATGCCAGTGTCAAGCTCTGCGCTGGATTCAACTGAGCTGCGTGAATACAAGTCGAAGAACAAAAGAGCTTCTCTGCTAGCGATGTGTTTGGGCAAAACGATGCATGGGCTCACAGCCTTGGCAGCAGCGCCGTTGGGGTTGACTTCCAGCACGAGCACCCCCGAGATGCCGAGCTGATCCACCAGCTGCTCCGGTGCAAAGGCCAGGTTGAGCGCCGGCCGTGTCACCTGCCCGTACTCTATGATCTGCTCCACGATGCCACTCACCTGCCATGCACATGCCATGAAAGAGTCAGTATGATGAGTGATATTCCAAGCACGTGTCATGAGTAGTGAGAGGATTGCGCTGAACATGGGCTGTTTGGCGTGAAACAGAATCGGCTTCTGACCCAAGCATGGGGAAGATGGGACCTGAGAGGCGGGTGAGATGGAGTGCGGGAAATCTACCTTCGAAAATTTCGTGTCGTAACGCTCAGGAATACTTACTGTGTCTACAGGGATAGCGAATCCAACGCCTGAGGATGCGCCAGATGGCGAATAAATAGCGGTGTTGATGCCGATGAGGGTGCCGCTGGAGTCGAGGAGAGGCCCTCCGCTGTTGCCAGGGTTGATGGCAGCATCAGTCTGAATCACGTCCTGAATGGGCCGTCGCGTTACTGATGTTATTTCGCGCTGCAATCCACTGAGAAAAAAGTGGTGGGCCGTGGGAGAAGACGTTTACGATTGCATGGTTGTAACGAGGGTGTATAGCCAGAGGATATGCAGATGGATGAGGAAGTGAGAGTGAAAGGAAACAGGAAGACGAGTGGAAAAGGATGTACCTGATGACTCCTGTTGTGAGTGTGTGGTCCAGTCCGAACTAAGGCATGACAAAAGCACAAAAGAAAAGGGAAAGGAGAGTAGGGAGACAAAATATGTTCATTAGGGAAATACAGTGTGCAGATCAAGGGGAGAAGCCACATTGAGAGAATATGGCAGGCGGACAGAGTAGAGGGAGGAACAAAGATGCGAAGAAGGATGGAAGATGGGTTCAACTTCTAGAGGGGTAGGCAACAAGTTGACGGATGGAGCAGAACTCACGGGGTTGCCGATGGCGAAGACCTTCTGGCCGACCAGCAGGTCCGAGGAGGAGCCTACTGGCAGCGGTCTTAGCTTCTCAGGGGGCGCATCAATGTGCAGCACTGCCACGTCCTTGTTGGGATCCGCTCCCACCACTGTCGCCTCGTACACTGACTGGTCCGATAAGGTCACTCTGTTAGGGACGATGTTGGGAGCGGAGAAAGAGGAACGATAAGAATAGTGCTCTTGTGGAGGTCTTTCTGTCACTATCCATTGCCCCATTCTAGCTTGGATGTGCAACAATTGTCAATTCAGTTCATACGCATCTGCATGAATAACTTCCGTCCTCAGACCATACCTGAGGTCAGTGGCGCGCCTGATGACGTGGAAGTTGGTAACCACATGGCCTTCCGTGTCCCATAAGAAGCCTGACCCTGTCCCCTGAGGCACCTGCATCACATCCAGTGTGAACGCGTCCTTCCTGCAACGACAGTCGCATGCATACAATGACACACACACATTTTCCCATGCACAGTCAGTCACACGCACATGCTCACATCACACTCACATAGAGATGGTCATGTACAGACCAACACATACAAGCACGCGAGCATGAATGCATTAGAACAGAACGTGCATGCATAATCATTGAGATATGGACACGGATATGTATTTGGTGAGAACCATCTCAGTTCGCGTGCACAAGTTCAGTGATACAAGTTCAAATTGCCATGCGATGCCAATTCCTGACCTATGTTTCATTGTGAGTTCTCCAGACTCCTTACATCCTCGTCGATCGAGCGGGCACGCACGTACCTAGTGGCGAGGTTCGTTATGTACACGACGGACGCGGTGTTGTCATTGAACAGCTTCACAGTCGCCAGCTCATCCGCCATAAGCTTACGTGGCGGTGCCACCACCGCACCAGCGTATGCCGGCATGGCAGATGACAGGACTGTAGCAGTAATCGCGACAGACGCTGCAAGCCGTCCGAATTGGTCGCATGCTTCGCGAATACTATGCGACGGGTTTGCGAACAGCTTTGAAAAGGATTCTCCTAAGCGACGCTTCATCAAGTCCAATGACTCCTTCAGCTCTTGACCTGGTGGTGCTCTAGAAGGAACATCACGCGCTAAGGACCCACTCCTCTCGTGGTGTGCAGGTTCATTTTGACCCGCCGAGGCAGCTGTGACTAGAGCCCTTCTGTGAGAGGCTACTGAGACGACACGAGGACGGCACGGCCCTGGACGGAGGAAAGAGGAGGCAAATCCATGGCTTCGTAAGCTTGCAATAAATGCTATATTATTAGCCTTGACGAAATGCGTGGATCGAGGTGCGACATCGGTAAGTGGTCCGCTTCTGGCGGAAAAGATAGGATGCGATGCTCCCGGCGATGAGTGCACACGAAGCGAGTGCACAGGCTGAAGAGCCATAGCTACCTAAGTACTAGCTGCAACTCTTCGACGGGAAACACAGCTGAAATGGAGAGAGATAGTCGGAATGTGAATGAAATGGAAATTTGGAAAATTTGGAATAATGAACTGGGTTGTGCGACTGATTTCCCTACTAGGCTCGGCTTACAGGAAGGCCTCCTTGACACGGCAATCCCAAAGAAGGCTAGGTTCGGCGCACAACCAAATTGTAGGCTCCAGGGATTGCCGAGGCAAAATGAGGGGGAATTGTGGACAGCTGGCACATCCACCGCAAGCATTTCGAAGTCCACGTCACTCCCTCATGTTCCCTCATTCGCTGTCCCCATTCAGTGTGTCACTCTAAGCCAGCAGTTTACAAGGTATAAGGCAGCAGCCACCTGTCATCAAGCTGCTCCACCACACAACTAGCGACTTCCTGATCACGTGATTCATTTTTCCAAGCACGTGGGTATTTGAAGCACTTCTCTGGTAGAACCATCAGTTTCCAAGGCTCTTCCTGGAATACCACCCTTGCTAGTCACTCCTAAAGAGGTCTTATTACATCGGCTCGTCGCTTCGATCCGATGCCAAAGCGGCGTGTCGAAGGCGAAATAGCGGTTTCGTACGATCCTGGACCAAGCAGCTCCGGCAGTAGGAGCCCTGTCGACAGTCCGCAGTCTGCGTGTAGCAGCGGTAGTCGGAGCAATCTACGACGCGATAACAGCTGGAATGACAGGGAACCGCTGCTTCCGGTTCACACAAAGCAGGCGACGAACCAGCAAAGGACTCCTTATGGATCGTTCTTGCGGAAGCGTGGGTCGCAAGGCGACATGGAGCAGAAACCAGCCAAGCTGCCGTTGGTCGATACATCGTGAGTCAATAGTTCCTTCAATCTGCTCTCTATGAGGCAGGCACTTGGCTTCGCGCTCTCACTCTCTAGACCACCTCACAATCCTCTTGTTGCTCTGACGGCATCCTTGGCTTTGTGCGTACAGGGGTACTTTGAATGTGGAACGGCGTGGAGTTCCCAAGCTGACAGCGTATTGGAGTGATCTATTTCACACGCTGATCAACGTACGGAAGTTCTCATGCTGCGGTTATCCCAGTCCCTCGCTGCTGATTGTTGCATGTTCCTGATTTTGCTGGATCAGCTGGATCACACTGTGTAGTAGATGCATCATGCACTCCAAAATTCACTGAACCGTTACTCTTTCATCTGACGTGTGACGGCTGTCATCGTATCTGTTCTTTGCAGATTCCTAACGTCCGCTTCTACCCGTTACTTCTGCTTGGCTACTCGCTGCTATTTGGAGGGTTTGCTGTCCCCTATTACTATCAGGTGGGCATCAGCTCTCGGACCTGTCCATTTACATTACATCACGAGATTTTATTTCTCTCTTGCATTAATGTATAGCTTGTAGTGCCCAGGTTCCATTGAAGTAGCAGCATTGTTGATTCTATTTTCATGGATGTGTGGAATGTGCATATCTTTGACCAGTCTGTGCAGTATAACTGCATCCCGGGGGTTAAGAATTACTGGCATGCTTTATGGTTCAGGTAAGACAATAACTGCTGGCAATGCGTTTTTTTTTTTTTTTTTTTTTTTTTTTTTTTTTTTTTTTTTTTTTTTTTTTTTTTTTTTTTTTTTTTTTTTTTTTTTTTTTTTTTTCGAGTGACTGACATCCTCTTTGTTCTTGTCTGTGGACCTGTTGTGGCAATATTTTGTACACCTTAAACACAATCTGTGTTGTGAAATCAATCAGTGTTCAGTCCGCCATGACCATTGGTAAGCAGTGTTGTGTCACTTGCTTCCCATTTTCAACATGGTGTTATCTTTTGCTTGCAGCCTTTGGCAGACCTCACCCACCCCTCCTGTTCTTTTCCTTCCTGCTACGCTGAATTCTTTTTGTGTGCAGGGTTTGGGGGAGATCTGGTTCCTGATCCTAACTGCTTCACACTGAACCTCCTTATCGCCCTCCAATCACTTGCTGCTTTGATTGTCGCCTATGCCTTGCTGGGGATAGTCTACACACGGTAAGTGGAGAGCAGGAAGCACATGTTTAGTAGAGAGATTGAGTAGGATGTTTCAATCAAGATACAGTTCGATATGCTGACATGCATATCACAGACACGCTCACCGCTTGTCAGGCAACAATGATGTGATATGTCTGCTTTGTCATCCGTGCAGGTTTGCCCTTCCCTCCCGTCGAGCTTCATCACTCGTGTTCAGCCAATGCATGGTGCTCAACGAGGTGATGATGTTTGTTGCTCCTGCTGTTCTAGTGCATCAGAGGCTGCCATGGCTTTCCTTTCCTTGTCTTGACACCCTGCTGCTACTGTATTTGCTTTGGCTTCAATTTGCGCTATGGCAGGAAGACGGAGTGCCTCGCCTTTCATTCCGGGTTGCTAATGTTCGCAAGCACCAACTCATAGAGGTAGGCACCAACTCATAGAGGTAGGCACCAACTCATAGAGGTAGGCACCAACTCATAGAGGTAGGCCCCAACTCATAGAGGTAGGCACCAACTGGAACAGCACGATCAGGTTGTTTGGGCTTGCTGACTGCTAACTGTTGATCATCAATCTTGCAGGCACATGCACAGCTGCTGGTGGCAATCAACAATATCATGAGTGCAGAGAATGAGGCGCTCTTCAAGTTCTCCAATCTTCCGGTCAGTCTCATCTCATCGTAGCTGTGAAGATTCCCGCTGCAGACCCATGTTTCGGTTGAATGGCATCATGGGCCTCTTGGTGCGAGACTGCCAGTTTTCATGATTTGTGATAGTAGCACGTTGTGCCTGTCAGTTCAAACGTCCTGCTAAGTCGTCTTCCACCCTTCCCCGTGTCCTTGCGTCGCAGATCCTAGGAGGGGGCTTCGTTTTTCTTGCTCTCCCCTGCATCATCACTCATGCAATCACGAAGCACAGCCCACTCCATGGCATGTCCCTTGCTGTAAGTCCCGTATCCCATCTCATTTCGCATCCCACCTCAGTAAGTCTTTGCTGCTGCTACATCCTATGTTCGCCCTTTCTGCTTGCCTGTGGTCCACATGAATTTGGAGCATGTTGTCCAAGAATGCCTTTAACTGTCACTTTTATTCCAACAACTCTCTTTCACTCCCAAAAGTCCCATCCCGCATCTTCTGTTCCACATGGATGTGATTGTAGATGATGGAACGCGCTGACATTGAGTTCCTTGTGCTTATAGAGGGCGTAGATGCTCCAACATCAGCCAAGCTGCAAGGTGCTTATGACCCACTGTGTAGTACCTCGTGCTAAGATGTTTTGCAAATGCGTCTGAATAGCTTTATTGTCTTCTTCCGACAGCTGCTGTCTTCACACCCCGAAGCACTTTTCTGGTTGCCCAGTTAAGTTAACTACCGCACTGTGTCCTTGCTGTTCCTCCCATGTGCACCTGTGACTTCAGCCCGACATTCCTACTCGCCTTGTGACATCAAGTTCAACCACCGCTTCTCGTGAGCTGGGAGCACTTACCTCTTCATTACGGCCACACACTTTCTTCATCACTCTTTCTTGATTTATTAAATGTCTTTTGTAGTTCCTGTGAAATTGCTGAGGGTTTGTTTCTTTGCTTGCTCATCCTTTTTATGTACCCATCTGGTTCGTTCATTGTGGCAGCACCATGGTCAGGCGGTCACCAAGTGGAATCCGATGCGTGGTGAGTTGCCATATCTGTTGTTCCATCCTTTCTGAGCCCAATCTCCTGTTTGTCCTTTCTGTCTATCCGCCAAGCATCTACACTCCCGCTCGTTTGTTCGCTCCACACACGCTCGCACACATGTGCACGAAGTATTTTCTGGTCCTTCTTGCTGCTTGCAACATTTCAGTTGTTGTCCATTCCACCTAATCAACACTCGTGTCCCCCACTGCTTGTGCAGGACTTCACCAAGTTTCACGACGTCCAGCCTGTCCCAGCTACTCTTCGCCGCCCCCACTTCCTCCCCCACGCTCCCTCCTGGGAAAATCTCCGCAACCTCTCCTCCCTCTCCTCTCTCCCCGGCGTTCTCCGCCACCCCACTGCTGTCTCAACCGACAAATCAGGTGCCATTATGGGCCGAAGGGATGCCCCTCACCCCTTCCCAGGCCCTGCTGACTCTGCTTCTGCCTCTCAAGCTTCACTGGCTTATCCACCCGTGATTTCCGCTGCTGGTGGTGGTAGTGGTGGTGACCCTGCTCCTGTTGCAGCTGACACGATTCGAAAGAACTCAAGCTTCATGAACATCCTTTCTCTTGGATTTGGGCCTGGGTCAGGCTGGGGAGGTGGGGTATGGGGGAGTGGAGTGTGGGGTGGTGGAGTGTTGTGGAGCGGAGGAGCAGGCGCAGGAACAGATGAAGGGTCAAGAGGAACAGTAGCAGCAGGGAGAGGGAGTTTACCAGCCGCTGGGAACACGGCTAATGATGTGGTCCGTGGAGGCAGTGTGTATGCAAGCACATCTGGTGTTGCTGCTGAAGACTGGGGAAGAGTCCGTGAATGCAGAGCTGCAAGTGACTCTGCAGCTGTTGGGGAAGGAGCAGGAGGAGGGCTAAGGGGTGGGCAGGGTCACAATGGCGGGGCGATGTTCTTGCCTCTGGCCGGCATGGAGCATGAACTGTCCATGGCCTCTCTCCCTCCAGTTATTGAAGGCAGCTCCGGCAGCAGCAGCCCATCCAGTGTGCCTCCAGCTGTTATTTCAAACTCAGGTGTTTTCAACAGATCAGGTGTGTGGAATGCTGCTCATGTAGGGACATGGTCCATGGAAGCAACAGCAGAGGCTGCAGTGAGTGGAGCTGTGGTTTTAGCTCCTGTAGCAGTCGCAGCCACATCAACAGCAGTCATAGCAGGAGGTGGAGATGCAGCAGTCACGGTAGGAACAGCTGCAGGATCAGCGTCACAAGCTCCTGCGTTTGAAGGGAGGAAGCAGATGAGGCGTATGGTTAGACGGGGGAGCGCAGAGAGATGGGACCGGATTGGTGGTGGGATGACAACGGAACAAGGGCGACTTAGCAGGTGTGTATCATTTGAGGTATCACCTGTCGCTGAATTGATTGGTGAGGGAGGGGCACAGCGAGGGGCTGAGCTGACAGCAGGGAGGGAATGTGCGAGTCCAACTGCAGCAGTGCTGGATGGGGGGGGGTCTACAAGGCATGAAGCCTGCAAGGAATTTACTCAAACTGCAGACAGGCAAGAAATGGAGGAAATGGGTGTTGAAATTCCCAACAAGAAGGGGCGGAGGGAGCAGAGGGATTCAGGTGGAAGGAGGCATGGGAGGGCCTTCAATGAACCACCCATTCCTGTTCCCAGCAGCAAACGAAACAGTGCCTCTAGCAGCAGCAGCATGAGAGGAGGCATTAGAATTGGTGGCAGGAGGAGCAGTGGTGCAAGCAAGCAGGAGAAAAGTTCCAGTGCCTCAGGCCTGCCAGGCTGCTGGACAGATCAAAGTCCGCTGCTGCTGATGAACTCCTTCAGTGTGCGATCGGCATCACACATGCTGGAAATGGATGCACGCCACAGGGTGAGTGCATGCTTCATTGCCAATTAGCTGGCAAAGGACACTGTTGTGCTCAACTGAAATGCGGTCGTCAGCTTTTGATTCATTTAGCGTCTCCTATTTCTCTGGTCCTCGCTTGTCAGATTGCTGTGGCAGAGAAGAGGGAGCAGCAGTGGCGATCACTTGTTGTGGACCTTGCCATCAAGGTGCAGAGCAGCAAAGCACTCCATGCGCCTGATGTTGATTGTCATCTACTCCTCAATAGAGCCAAGGAGTTTCTAGAAAAAGCCGCTGAAGAAGATGAAGTTTCTTCTGACTAGGCAATGATACTGCAGCGTCATGGGCTGGAAAATGGAAATGTGGATCTGTATTGCTATTGGCCTGTATGCATAGTGTAAATAGTTCTATTTTCCATGTGCATATCCTTGATCGAGAAGGTAGCAGAACGATGCATTGATTCGGCCCTATGCTTACCGGATCGACGCAATGTCGAAGCACTTCGTCTTTCAAGGTCCAGTCACCAATGCGATTTGGTTGCCTGTATTTGCAGTCTTCCCGTCCAGGCTCTCTTGTTAGATCCTCTGCTGGTCACCCTTACTTACAAAATCTGTGTGCATCCTGCACTTCTAGCAGTATAGCATCCCTCATCTCTTGCAGTATGGCGTCCTTCACCTCTAGCGCTTTATCCGCACCCGCCCGTTTGCTTGGAGTGGATAGTTCTCCCAATGTGTCGTCGACATCTCTTTCGTCTGCACGCAGATCCAATCGCGTGTCCGTTTCGCTTGAGGTTCTGTGCTGCTCCTTCAACCCTCGGCTTAAGGAATTGCCACGTTCTAAGCCCTTGAAACCCTGCAGGAGCAGTTGCGTTGCGCCTGCCACAATTCTGAGCGAAGTTACGAAGAGCAATGTAGATTCAATTCCCGTCCTTTCGCAAACGGAGGTAGGTATTTCTCAGCACAATGTCAAATTTCCCTTCTCACGACTTTTCTCACAGTCAAACGCATTTATCAGGTGGCGGAGAGGCTTGCTGGCCACAAGCATCCTAATCAACGAAACTATCGCGCGTTTTACTCGAGTGTGGTCGGTGGAATCACGACGGATCCAGCAACTATGGTAATTCCTATTGACGATCACATGGCTCACAGAGGCCACGCTGTTTTTGACACCGCCATTATTTGCTCAGGGTAAGTTGCGCACATAAAAAGGGTTTTCTGATGTTTGTACCCATGGCCGCCTTCAAGTTGCAAATTGTGGTCTTTTTTTTTCCACGTGCAGGTACTTATATGAGCTTGATGAGCATGTTGACCGTTTTATAAAGTCAGCTCGTGCGGCAAGAATTGAACACTCATATTCTCGAGAAGAGCTTAAAGCTATTATCATCCAGACTGTCGCTGGTCAGTGACCGCACTCTCACGTTTGCACTTGCCGTATCGTAGGAACAAGTCCTTATCCAGCGATGCGTCAGGTGCATTTTATGTCCATTCAATACCTGTGCAGTTAGCGGAGTGAGGGACGGCAGTACTCGATACTGGCTCTCAGTTGGACCTGGTGGTTTCACTTTATCCACTAAAGAGTAGGCGCATTGCCGTGTGTCTTTGTAGCATTCCAAAGGTTTCCGGTCAGTCAATAATTATTGTCATCCATTCTTGCAGGTGTCCAAGAAGTACCTTTTACGTCATGGTCGTTGCGGATAATAAGTTCACAAATCTGGAGGCTCCAGTTGATGGGGTTACAGTGGTCAGTTACTCTTTTTTGCTCTTACTGCCTTTTCCTTCAGTGGAGATTGGTGTCTGAGCTCGGTGTGCTCGTTTGGTAACTTGCAGGCTACGTCAAGTGTTCCAATGAAAGCTCCAATGTTCTCAACTATGAAGAATGTAAATTACATGCCTAATACTCTGGTGAAGATGGAGGCTGAAGAGGTATGGGCTAACTTTTTAGCAGATTTTGCCTCATAATGTGGATGGGAACGCTAAGTTAGCCTGTGTGTTTGAAACGTGCAGAGGGGTGTGTTTGAAGGCATTTGGATTGATGAGAATGGCAACGTTGGAGAAGGTCCCAGCATGAATGTTGCCGTAAGTCTAGGCAACGTCGTCTGGAGAGGGATGACATTGCATGGCTGATAAAATTGTTTTAACGTCCACTGGTTTGCTCTTCTGCTGGCAGTTTGTTAATGACCAAAACGAGTTTCTTGTTCCTGAGTTCAGCCGGGTGAGTTTGGTTCTGTGCTATTTTTTTTTCTTATCTGCCCTTCGGCTTTTGGCTGCGGATGCTAATTTTTTGTAATGTGCTGCAGGTATTGGCAGGGTGTACAATGAAGCGAGTTTTGGCACTTGCAGAAGAACTGTTGGAAGAAGATTCAGTTCCTAGAATAAGCAGGATTTACCACCGGCCAGTTTCAGAGTCTGAAGCACGACAGTGCAAAGAAATGATGCTTGTGGGCAGCGGGGTGTTGGTGACCCCTGTGATTCGATGGGATGACCAAGTCATTGCAAGCGGTAAGGTTTTAACGAAGTTGTGTTGCGCCAGGGTCATAATGATTACTGCTGACACTTGTTTCGTTCTTCCACAATTCAGGTTCTCCAGGGGCAATTACCATGGGTTTGCGGAAGCTGCTAGCAGAGGACCTACATGGCGGTTATTCTCATATCAAGGTCAACTATGTGTAATCGTTATCTGCAAGTAGAGTTGAGTGGGACAGGTTCAACCAAGCGGGGTTGAGGGGGACGGGTCAACTATGGGTAATCATTATTGCAAGTGCAATAGCCCCTGGTGGTATGGCGATTTTTTCAGGTAACAGATATTGCTGTTTATTGATGTTCGCGCATTGAATGGTATATACATTGAACCATCCGGCTGAGTGTGCCTCCGTGCCTACTAGCTACAAAGTTTCTAGAAGATCAGGAGATAGTGTGTTGATTTTGATGAGATAGTGTAGCTGGTTTTGAATCTATAGCTGCTAAATATGTCTAAGTGAAGAGGCTTTCAGCTAAGGTGAGAACCATAAAAAAAGAATTACACTTGTATTTGTCCCAGCCATACTAATACCGGAACAGAAACGAAACCGATTTCTCTCTGAGAGGTGCTGACAGGAAGAGTGGCCACGTGGCGCTGAGTAATTTGCACTCGAAGGCGCTGCCAGACTGTGCTCCCACGGCAGAGTGTCTGACTACCGTTCCCCTGTTTTGCACGCTCCAGCCTATCACGACACGGATGGGGCAACAAGTCATTTGTCAGGCTCGGACATCCCAGAGATTGTCAGGCATCATGAATGTTTGAATTCTTGATGCGTCCTGCCTGTCGTCGTATGGCTTGATGGACTTCATCGCTGTCATGGTGTGTGCCTCGGACGGAAGTCTGATTCGTCCATATCAGACCCTTTATTTGCCGTTGGACATGCGGAACGACGAAATAACAGCTTACTAAGCTTGACAATATGTCGACCCAGTGCGTGCAGGTTAATATAGTTGTCCTGAAGTTCGTAATTTGATAAAAATCAGGTGACCTTCCAACAGTCAGAAGAAGCTTATCAACACATACCAGTGAAGGATATCATTATATCACACCTCTCGTTGTCGCACTTAAAAAAGCAGACCAACAGTACAGTAAGGAGCCATGGACGACCCGAGTCCTAGCCGAGTGAAGCAGCTCGCGTCTCGATTCGAGCCGCAGCTGTCTAAGGTGCAGCGTATCGCCTCCATGTTCGAATGCGAGCCGCCGTCGCCGTCCACGGCAATCTCCCTATCACGCCGCGTCGGCGGCAACAGCACCGCCAAAATTCAGTACAAGCGAGTCCAATCTGACCGTCCAAGTCCAACCGGCGATTCCCAGCAGTCCGTTAGACGACAGTCAATTCCCTCCCCGAGAACAGTCGAAACTCCTGCCTTGCAATACGACCCTGCCGAGGAATCCTTCGGCGGTGGAGAGCAGTTGACGGAGGAGCAGTTGGCGGAGGAGGGGTTGGACGGGATGAGCATGGAGGAGATGGAAGCGCTTTGCGAGATCATGGCGCTCGAGGAGTCGCGCGCCCGCGCCGAGCGCATGGAAGCGCTGGGCTACGAGGTGGCGGGCGGGGAGGGGCGCGAGGAGTACCGCAAGGAGGGGGATGGTGGGGAGGGCGGATGGTGGCAGGTGGGGTACAGCGACGGGCGCGCGGGTGGAGAGGGGAGCGGTGGTGGGGAAGCGGAAGGCGGGGGAACAGGAGGTGTGGAAGGGGTTGCAGTGGTTATTGGGGATGACGAAGAGGGTGACAGTAAGGATGGGGGCTCGGTGGGCTCCTTGATTCGATCCATCGAGGGACTCCCCAAGCAGAGCAAACAGCAACCTCAGCCCATCTCTCCAGAAAAAACGCCAGGCAAATCGCGCAAGTCGTCGGGCGGAAAGAAGAGCAGGGAGAAGCGGAGAGGCGAGCCAGGGGGTGCGGACACCGTCGCGGGAGCGATTGAGCGGTTCAGCGGCAGCGGAAAAGACCCTGAGCGGGTTTCAACGTCCCGAATGACGCTTTCCACGTCAGAACCGTCGCTCGCTCGCGCTGCTGCTGGCGCGACCGCGGGGAATCGGCGCTATGGCCTGGCAAATGGCGGCCCTCTGGAAGACAGGGCGGTGGGAATGGCGGGTGGTGGAGCAGGGAGGAGCTCTGCGGGACTGAGTGGGGAGTTTCCTCTTGAGCTCTCGTCCAGTCCCTCTGTCTCTGTTGTCGATGCTGAGCTGTCAAGGAAGAAGACTGAGGTGGCACGATATGAAACTGAGCTGGCACGGCGCCGTGCTGAGCTGAACCGACTCAGAGTTGAGCTGGCGAGTGTGAGCGTGGAGAAGGTGCAAGCGGAAATCGCCCTGACTCGGCTAAAACAAGAAGTAGAGGACTGGTCGTATGTCCCCGCGGAAGGGACAGGACAGGGAGGAAACGAAGCGGATGAGGCAGGGGAAACAGGCGAAAACGGGGCGTCGGATTTAAAGAAAGATGGGGACGGAGGAAGAAGCGAGGAGTCTTCCTCTTCTGCCCAGTTGAAGGCGCAACTGGGGAAGGTGAGGCTAGAGAATGAGCGGCTGAAGCGGCGAGAGAAGAGCCTCACTGCTGACGTGGAATACATCGAAACCATGCTGGCGCAGGAGAAGGGCGAGTCAGCAGCGCTGCGGCGTGAGCTGGCGGAGGTCAAACAGCAGCGAAAAGATCTCGACAAGGAGCTCTCAGCTGCCCAGAAAGAACTCTCCTCCCTCAGACGATCAGCAGCAGTGGCAGAACGGCGGGCAGCAGCAGAGGAAGCAGACGCAGCGCTGCTGCGGCAGCAGCTGCAGAAGGCACAGGCAGCAGAGATGGGGCTGCTGGAGCAGCTGCAGTTGGCGACGAAGGAGGCGATGGGGCTGCGGAAGACGCTGGTGTGGAGCAAGGAGACGCGCGAGGACGCGGAGGAGTGGGAGCGCGGGCTGCAGGGCACGCTGGCTGAGCAGGTGCAGCGGAATGGCGAGCTGGAGGTGAAGGGCGGCGAGATGATGACGCGGCTGCTGGTGCTGGAGAAGGAGCTCGCTGAGGAGCAGCAGCGCCGCAGTGCTGCTGAATTCCAGGTGGGCTTTGGCCGCTGGCTGGGGTGATTGAACTTGTTGTACATGAAGAATGTTTTCCGCCCTGGTTTCTCCTCCTCCATCCTATCTCATCGTCCTCATCTTATTTCCTGTTTTATGCTCTTGACTTGGCAGGCACGGGATGCAGTGGCAGCAAAGGAGTTGCTGGAGGAAGAGGTGATGCTGCTGAGGCACACCAGAGGGGTGATCAAAGATGCGATGTTGCAAGGGGGGGCCGATGGTGAGGAAAGAAGGGCAAGCAGCAGAGCAGAGGACATGGTACCAAGTGGTGGGAGTGCTAAGGTGGTGTCTTCTGACGGGCTCAAGATGGAGGTGCCTGCTCGAGTGTGGGACATTCTGGACCAGGTGAGACGCCCACACCATGAACCTCATGTGTAACCCTCCCTTCCCTCCTCCCGTACACGCCTCCTCGTCCCCCCCCTGCGCTTTCCACAACCTCCCCCAACCCCCCCCCACCTTTCACCACACCACTCTCCGTTTTCCCCCATGCAGCACCCCAGTTGGCTTCAACTCATGCATCATCATGTGTGCCTTCCCGACTGTGGGTACAGGTGGAGGAGACCAAGGCGAGGGGTATGGCAGAGCGGGACGAGCTGACGCGCCTGCACTGGTTGACGGCCTGTGTGCGTGGCGAGCTGCACAAGGCCAGATTCGCTGCTATCCAAGCCGCTGCCTCCACCAACCCCACTGCCACCACCACCAATGCCACCACCACCATGGGCGCCGCTTCTGCCAGCTCCTCTCCTGCTCCTTCTCTGGTCCCTGCTGCAGGCCTCGCCAAGCCACTGGGCAAGGCTGTCTCCAAGAAGCTCTCCCTTGTGCTTGACTTGGATCAGCATGCTGCTGCTGCAGCACCAGCAGACCCTGCAGCTGACAGTGCTGCTTCAGCAGCCTCAGGCACGAGTGTGTCCGGCACCACGTTTTCCACCACGGCCAGCACGCCCCGCACGCCCCCCCACTCCACCATCGCCGCCAGTGCTTCTGCCTCCGCCTCAGCTGGCAGCAAGTTTGTACGCTGGTTCTCCCACCGCTCCTCCGACAGACCAGCATATAGCAGCGCCGCCACCAGCGCTGCTGCATGGCCTGCTGGCTCCATGGCTGCTTCAGCTGCAGTGGTAGCAGAAGAGGGAAGTGCCTCCCCTCAGGCACCTGATCCAGTGCCTCGAGTGGCCACAGACGAGTCCGCGCCCAGCACTGCACTGCCCTCACTCCTGCCTGCCCAATCAGCTCCTTCCACTCCTGCTCCTGCTCCTGCTGCCTCTGCTGCCACTGCTGCTACCACACCATCTGGCAGGTGAGGGGATTCTGTGTTAATGTTGCTTTGGCTGAAGACATCTCACTCTTTCGCCCATCTAATTCACCATTGCCCCATTCCCCTTTCCCCACTCCTCCTTCAACCCCTCGTTGCGATGGCCACACGCAGAAAGCATCACTTGCTTTCGTTCAGGCGAATGACCTCCCACAAATGAGATGCCTCGTGGCATGCTTAGTTGTCACGTCACCACCTTCATGGTACCCACCACTAATCTCTGTTGTGGTTACTGCATGGTCAGCTAGCTAGTGGAATCCTTGCGGCAATATTGGTAGCAGTGTCATTGCCGGTTTTGGAAGTTATGGGTTTTTTTGAGGAGCAAGACGGGCTTCGTAGTATCTGGAGCTCTGGGAGTGTGTCAATCCTGTTTGTTTAAGTTATTGCTCAATCTGTTGCTCTTGCAGGCACCTGAGGTTCATCAGTCCCATTGTTTATGCATGTATCTAAATGTTTGCACCTGTTTCTTGCTACATTGCAGCATTAAATCCTATATTATTTAGTGAGGTCTGCAAAACGGAATCTGTTCAACAACGGGGCGCGGATTTTGCACGTTCCCCTCATTCGGGAGTTTGGCGACGGATAGCTGGTCGTGTCTAATCGCCAAACGGACAGTGCGATTCGGTGATGTCCAGGTTTCCTCCATCCCATTTCTTTTCGAACCAATCTCCAAGGCCTTGACTATTTTTGCAAAAAGAATCGAGTGTCACTCATTTCGCGAAAGGGGGAAATCAGAGTGCAATAACAATCAGAGTGCAATCTGCCCAGCGAATTGAGGTCCCAAGCGACTCCACCAGCCGACAAACCGCGATTCGGAAATCGACGACCCGAGGATGAAACGCGAAATGCGCCAACTGAAAACTCCCCGATCTCGGCTCGCCATCATCACGAATGTTGCCCCCCGCCGGCCCCTCCACAACTAATAAACTCCCGCTACCATCCTTGTTGCAAGCAAGGAGAGCTGAGTGACATCACCTCAACATTCCCTGCATCAACCGAGCGACCGACACCGAACTGAAGGACGCACTGAATTGTATCGCTGTAGACATCTGGAGCTTGAATCTAGGGTCTGCCGTGTTGCCTCTCGCAGCCCATCGTTCGCTTGTAACCACGAAGCTCCGCGCTTTGGGAATTTTAGCTTTGCACAGCGACAATCCGTGTGATCTACCGAGTCAGGCATTCTCGCGCGCCAGAAAATCCTACTACGCGGGTGCTCATCGATTGCCTCGTCGATCACACCGCTCTGATCTCCCCACAGCGCCTTATCTGCACGTGTGGCGTAAAGAGAGCATTTGAAATTTGTATCTGCAATGGACTCGTCGCTTGCACGGAGTCGCGTAACGCCGAGACCGTCTCATCTCCCCGCGACCATGCTCTCGCTCCTTGTCCTCGTCGCATCTTCCTCCCTTCTCCCCCATCCGGCTCGATCGTCCAGCGCACTCCTTCGGTCCCGTGCGAGCGACGAGTGGGCAGATGCCGCTGTGCGGTGGCTCATGCGACAAGCGAACAGCTCTGGCGACGGTATTGTACGTCGCTCCCTAGTCGGAAGTCGGGCATCAGCAGGTTGCGACTATCGAAGAGGGAGGTAAGCTCCGCGTGGATGTTGCTTTCATGCTTACTCTCCTCTTAGACTACCTTTCTACACCTCCCCGCACCCCGAAATTCCCCTCATTCTTCCTACCCATGTTGTTCTGAAGAGCCTCATTTGAACGCTGAGCATCTGGCATCTCTCCCCTTGAACTTCTTCACACTCTTGTCAAGCACTCCGCAACCCACCAATGTGCGCTTCCCCCCTCGATCTCACCTCGCAATCCCAACCGCCCTTCCCCAACCGCTCCGCGTGCGCAGCTGGGTTCGCACGTCCGCCATCCCCAACTACAAGCCGCCCTACGCCAGCGGGTGCGCGGCGGGCTTCTCATGTGACACTGTCGGGCGGAACCCGGCCGGATACGTGTGGGTCCCGGCGCCGCCTTGCTCGTACGACCGATGGAGGTACGATCAATGGATTACGAATGCTTATTTTTCCCCATTTCTTCCTCCTCCTCCATTCGTCGCCCCCTCCCCTCCCCCCTTTCCACCCCATACGAGACCCATGTGTTGATTTGATTCTTGGCTCCCTTTCGTGCGGCGGCAGATTCAACCCCAAGACGTTTCTCGAGACCATGCGGAACAAGATCGTTGCGTTTGTGGGTGATTCGCTAAGCGACAACCTGCACGCGTCCGTCCACTGCATCCTCTCCGCATACACAAAAATTGAGGTGCGCGTTCGCGAATTCCGAAGTGAATTCTCTCGTCGAAGCACGAATCGGCCGCGCTTATCCCCTTATCAACGAATCATTAGCCATCCCATCCTGAGTAGGCTAACTAGGAATAAAAACCCTGTTGCTTTTGCTCCGTCGCCCCCATCCTCGTCGGCCCAAGCCAGCCCCACCAACCCACTCCACCCCAATCCACCCCAATCCACCCCTCCCCGTCCCCACCACCAGTTCAAGAAGTCGTGGCTAGGCGGCGCGAGGCCAGTGGGGTCGCTGCACGCGGCGCAGTACAACTTCACGCTGCTCTCCATCAACAGCGGCTACATCGTGCAGAGCCCGCGATACGTGAGTCACCCGCCATACGTGAGTTGCCCCCCATTTGTGGCGAATCCATCTTCTCTTGAGCACGCCTCCCTCCCTGACGTTTCCTCTCGCCTCCCTCTCCACTTTTCCCCCTCCCTGCTTCCCTCCTCCGTTCTCTCCCCCCTCCCTACGTCCCCCCTCCATTCTTCCCCCCCGTGCTTTCTTCTTCCGTGCTTCCCCCGTGGCTGCTTTCGCCTTACTGATTCTCCCCTCCTGCTCACCGTGTGCCTGTTTTCCCCTGGCCATTACCACCCCTGGCCGCTTCACCCCTGGCCAATTACCCCCTGGCCGTTTCCCCCCGGGCGCAGTACAAGGATCAGACGCAGCCATACGTGGTGAACCCCAAGTGGGCGGGCATTCTGCGCTACACGCACTCTATCATTTTCAGCGCCGGCCACTGGTTCTTCCACCCGGTATGCCCCATGCTCTCTGGTTCTTCCACCCGGTATGCCCCGTGCTCTCTACTTTTCCACCCGGTATGTCCCATGCTCTCTGGTTCCCCCATTTGTTATGCCCCATGCTTTCTGGTTCCCCCATTCGAAATGTAACGCCTGTAAGCGCAGTGTGATCCCACTGGTTCTCCCTTCGCATCTCCTCCCACTCATTCATCCCATCTACCTCGCCCCACTGTATCCCATCCCATTGTTGAATTACATTCCACTCCAATCATGACTCACCAATCCCATCCATCCCACTCTCTTCCCCTCATACCCTTCTGCTCCTCAGCCAAGCTCTAAGCTCGGCTCCAACCCCAATTGGCAGCCCATGGGGGCATACCGCAAGGCCATGGGCGTTCTATATGACTATTTTGATAAAACACCCTACAGCGGCCTTCCCATATTCATGACCTTTTCCCCAATTCATGCCGGGAATGCTTGCGCCACCGCCAATGCCCCTTTTGCCAATGAGACCGATGGCGTTGCGCATCTCAATGGCTACACCATTCCGGCTATGAAAAAGCAAGTGTCGATATTCAAACGATCCAAGAAAATCCGGGTTGCGCAAATCACTTATATGAGTGCCCAGCGCCCCGATGCGCATCTGCGATCAAAGAGAAAGGATTGCAGCCACTGGTGCTTGCCAGGGGTCCCTGATGCGTGGGCTGATGTGGTTTACAACATGATGATGAATTATTATTAGCATAAAGGTTAGCCTGCATGGGTGGTTGCGTTTTGAAGGTGGTTTTTGGAGATACAAGTCCAGTAGCCAATAGCTGCAAGGACGTTAGGAAAGAGTTTGCAATAAAGTTCTGAATTTTGCCTATGTGAGAATTAAAGTGTATGAAATTGTATAGACGAGTCTTGTATCACGCAATTCTTGCCGCAGTCGGACAATTTGTTTTTGCTATCTGCAAACCCGAAGTGACAGAAGCACCTCCGCTGAATTCCGATGCACCATCCGGTTAGGAGAAATACGAGACGAGACTGTGGTGGCTTGTTCCTCGTTTTTCCGCCACTACTGCCGCTGCAGTAGCAATGGCGCGCAAAGAACGGGCGAGTGCGTCCACGGCGTTAGTGGACGTGGCGTGGATGGCGGGCGTGGCGACGTGCATCAAGGTACTGCTGGTGCCGGCGTATCGCAGCACGGACTTCGAGGTGCACCGCAACTGGCTGGCCATCACGCACTCGCTGCCGCTCTCGCAGGTCCGTCCGTCGACAATCGAGATTCATCCCATTCGCCAACCCTAGAATCCAGCAGCCCATTGCGCTTCATGTACTGCCGTCTCGAGGCACCGTACCTCAGGGTTGAATCCCGACCAGACTTTTAAATCCAGATGCTGCACGCGCCCCAAAGCTTTGACAGCTCCTCCCGCTCGTTCTCCGAACAGCTCCATCTCTAATCGTCCACATCCGCTCCTTCGACTCTCCGGGGGGGCTATCACGCGCCTCTTGCTCCCTCCGTTCCCTCGCAAACGTGTGCATCCTTGTTCTGCGACAATGGCAGTGGTACGAGGACGCGACGAGCCAGTGGACGCTGGACTACCCGCCGCTCTTCGCCTTCTTCGAGCGCTGCCTCGCGCTGCTCGCGTGCCGCGTCGACCCGCTCATGACCCACCTCGTTAACGGCCTCGAACACGCCAGCTACGCCACCGTGCTGTTCCAGGTGTGCAGTGCCACACCCCGTGTCATCACAAAATTGACATTGTTGTTTCAAGGCACACCCAAGCGTCACGTCGCAACATGCCACACATCGCACCAGACAAAATCCAACCTGATTCAGAACTCAACACAGTTTATAAACCAATCCTCCCGGCTGCTCCCCCCAGCGCGTATCAGTGATGGCCACGGACTGCCAGCTGGCCGTGGCACGAAATCCAACCCGATACAGAATCCAATCCAAGGTTTAAAATTACGGTTTTCGAAAAGTACGGTCCGTTTTTTACGGTGATTTTCCAAAAAAACGGCCGTTTTTTTGTTAGAGAACTCTGTTCACCAAGAAAAAAAAGAGAAAAACAAGGTCAAACACATTTTCAATCATGCCAACAAGCGCATACATGCAAGAAGGGGTCCATCCCCTTCATGCTGCTGCATTTCTGGTTCAATTTGGTCCCACTAAGTGGCCGTTTTGTTAGTTACAGAGGAAACACCTCCTGGAACCGTTTTAAACCGTTTTTTACGACCGTTTTTTACGGTACCGTTTTTAACGGTAAAATTTCAATAAAACGGTCGTTTTTTTTAACCCTGATCCAATCCCCCTCCCGGCTGCTCCCCCCAGCGCGTATCAGTGATGGGCACGGACTGCCTGCTCGCCGTGGCAGCGTGGCGCTGCACGCTCGGCCTGCCCTCTCGGGCGCACCGCAACGTGGCAGCGGGGGCGGTGGTGCTGTCAGCAGGGCTGCTGCTGGTGGATCACATGCACTTCCAGTACAACGGCATGCTGCTTGCAATGCTGCTACTCTCCCTCGCCCTCCTCGCTGTACGTCTCCCCCGTGATGCATCTGCGTCTCGCGCCGCTGCTGCTTCACTCAGTCGATCGTTGCTTCTAGTGCTTCATCTCACTTAAGCTGACTCGAATTTCCCGCACCGATGGCTCGGTGTGTTGCGTGGCATGGCAGGACGGGAGGCACGTGTGGGCGTCACTCACCTTTGCGTCTCTCTGCTGCTTCAAGCACCTCTTTGCCGTCGCTGGTCCCTTCTTCCTCGTCTTCCTCCTCCGCCACCACTGCTTCCCTTCACCCCCCGCCGCCGCTGCACCGCACACCACCACACACAACAGCTCCAAACCGCCCAGACGCATTTCCCCTGGTGCGAAACAGCAATCCACTTCAGCCTCGGCGCCAGGCAGCTCCATCCCCCTCCTCACCTCGCTCGCCCGTATAGTCACACTGGGAGCAGTGGTCGTCACAGTGCTGCTTGTTTCCTTCGCCCCCTTTGTAGTCACAAACCAGATGCCCAACCTGATCGCCCGTCTGTTCCCCTTCGGCCGCGGCCTCATGCACGCCTACTGGGCGCCCAACTTCTGGGCTCTCTACACTCTCGCGGACAAGCTCCTCGCTGCTGCAGCTTCGGCAGCAGGCTCGTTAATAGGGTCGGCAGGAGGTCCGGCGTTGGGAATGAAGGGCGGCTGGACCCGGGGGTTGGTGGGGGATGCAGTTGGGTTCAGCGTGGTGCCACAGGTGACGCCGCTGGTGTCTCTACTGCTGGTGCTGGGTGCTATGGCGCCCGTGCTGCTGCATATATGGCTCCGACCCTCCGCCTACATCTGTGGTGCTGCCAGTGACGCTGCTGACAGGGATCGTGCAGACAGGAATGTTGGTGAGAGGGATGGTGGCGAAAAGGGCGGGAGAGAGGGTAGGGGGAGTGAGCCCTATGACACGCCCACAGGGGAGCGGCGGCGGTGGAGCATACAGGCCATAGCAGCAGCGCTGGCGCATGTGTTTCTGAGTGCGTTCTTACTGGGATGGCACGTGCATGAGAAGGCAGTGTTGCATTTCCTGCTGCCGCTCTCCCTCCTCGCCTCCGCCTCGCCTGCATGGGCGTCTGAGTTCCTCATTCTCGCCACCGGTGAGTGCATGCTGCTAGCCCTTCTATCACTCTCTCAACTTTGAACCCATCATGCTTCATCTCCAGCGCACTCATTGCGCTCTTTCTATCTCTCCGCCCTTCACGCCCTTGCATTTCCTGGCCTGGCCTCGCTGTGCCTCGCCGCTGCCTGCTCACCCATCTCCATGCTTTGTTGTGTCCTGCATGCGTCATCCTCTCCCCTACACGTTTCTGACCCTTGCAACCCCCCCCCCCCCCCCCCTCTCTCCCACCCACACCTCCAGTGGCTCATTATTCCCTCCTCCCCCTCCTCTTCACACTCCCCGAGTATCCCATCAAGATCCTCCTCCTCTCACTCTTTTCCCTTGCCCTCCTCCTCTCCTCCCTCCGCCTCTTCTCCCCCACTCTCAACCGCCAACCCACTACCTCAATGCACCAATCACCACCGCATAAAAACTCGTCAAATCTACGGCTCCCCAAGTTGCAGTATCCATCGTGGTTGCACAGGCTACGAGTGGTACATGCTTTGGGTGTTTTACCCTTGGAAATGCTGTGTCAGCTGCTGTACCACCATCCACGGCTGCATGCACACCTCCCTTTCCTTCCTCTGCTCCTCACTTCAGTATACTGTGCAGTGGGCATTACTGTAGCCTGGGCTGTACAATTGTATGTTATTGTCAGTTCCTGACCCCTCCTTTTGTCCACATCATTATGCAGTCTGATTTGCACACTTTCATCGTACATTTCAATAATCTCCTTTGCACTGCAGGGTGTAATTGCATGCAAAGTGAGCAAGAGTATCGTGAGCAACAGCATCGTGGTGAAAACTGATGGGGTGGAAAGGAAACTGATGGGGTGGAAACTGATGGGGTGGAATCTGATGGGGTGGAACTGATGGGGTGGAAACTGATGGGGTGGAAAACTGATGGGGTGGAAAACTGATGGGGTGGAACCTGATGGGGTGGAACTGATGGGGTGGAAACTGATGGGGTGGAAATTGATGGGGTGGAAACTGTTAGGGTGGAAACTGATGGGGTGGAAACTGATGGGGTGGAAACTGATGGGGTGGAAATTGATGGGGTGGAAACTGTTAGGGTGGAAACTGATGGGGTGGAAACTGATGGGGTGGAAACTGATGGGATGGAAACTGATGGGGTGGAAACTGATGGGCTGGATGGAAACTGATGGGGTGGAAACTGATGGGGTGGAAACTGATGGGGTGGAAACTGTTAGGGTGGGGGTGGGAACTGATGGGGTGGAAACTGTTAGGGTGGGGGTGGGAACTGATGGGGTGGAAACTGTTAGGGTGGGGGTGGGAACTGATGGGGTGGAAACTGTTAGGGTGGGGGTGGGAACTGATGGGGTGGAAACTGTTAGGGTGGGGGTGGGAACTGATGGGGTGGAAACTGGTGGGGGTGGAAACTGATGGGGTGGACGTGAGCTTGAGTATCGTGAGCGCACATTGTCAGCACCAGCATCATGAGCAACAGCATCTTGAGCAAATATGCATTAACTAGAATATACGGTAATAGCCATGATGTGGAAAACTGAATTCAATTTCCTGCTAGTATTCTACCACCGTTACACACATGCATGACTACTATACACTAAATCTACACTACACAATTACACTTTCCGTATCCGTCTTGCAATCTTCTCCAACAGTTTGTGCACCACCTTGGGGTCCTTCACCTTGGGCTTGCCGCCCTTCTTGCCGTCCGCCTTGCGCCCGTCTGAGAAGAGCAGGTAGTAGTCCAGCTGGCACGCGTCCGCCAGGTGGTGGAACGTGGGGTCCGCCTCCTCCTCTGGCCTGATCTCTACCACTGCCCCTCCTGCACACACCCAGGGGAATGGGTGGGGTCATGGAAGGGTAAGGCAAGGTAAGGGAGGGAAGAAAGGGGGAAGAGGAGGGGAGGGGGGGGTGGAGACGATGTGGTGAAGAGAAGATTGGGCCGCGAGAATGAAACAGATGCTTCCCCTCCCCAATAACTCACCAGCGGGCATGAAGACCATATCTGCCAGCACGTTATCATGCGCCGCCACCAGCAGTCTCGCGCGGTTGAAGAGCTCCTTGCGCTTGCCAAAGGGCAGCGAGCCATCGCGGTACGTGACAATGCGGTCCTGGGGCAGCCACTTGAGCAGCTGCTGTGTCAGCTTGAGCGTCTGCACCAGCGGCTTCCACTCGTCGCGCATCGCCACCACCACGATCCAGTCGCTGCCCGCTGATAGATCCTCCCCCTTGCGCCTGCGGTACGTTGGCTTGAACTCTGCCGTGTGGGAAGGGGAAGAGGGGAGGGTGATTTAGGTGCCAAGAGAACAAGAACTTGTGGGGTTGAGCTCGGGGAGGGCAGATGGGGAGGTATGGCAGCAGATGGCATAGATGCAGATCAAAATGGCACATAGGGTTGTGATGCATGAGAAAAGGGAGAGAGGTGGGGTGTACCATGGCGGTAGATGGGGAGGCCCGGCTTGGGCAGCAGGTTGCGGTGGCGCAGGTACGACCACATGGCCCTGCTGGGCCGCCCACACCGCTGCTTCAGTGGCTGTGCGCGCGCACACACACAAGGGCGGGGGGGTGAAGGGAGGAGAGCACAGGAGTCAAGAAGTGAGGGGAGAAGAGGAGAATGCGGTGCCCTGAGTGCTCTGTGGTGCTCTTTGGTGCTCTGTGGTGCACTGTGGTTATCTTTGGTACCATGTGGTACTCTGTTGTGCTGGTGCTCTGCTCTGCTCGAGTTGCCCAGCACTCACGAGAATGAGGCGTTCAGCAAAGAACAGGCCCCCCTCTTTGAGAAGCTGCGGGTCCATCCACTCCAGGCACACCCCCACCAGCTCCCAGCGCCCCAGCCTAGTTTTGAGGCGCCTCAGAACTATACCCCATGGCACTCACGAGAATGAGGCGTTCAGCAAAGAAGAGCTCGCCCTCCTTGAGAATCTGCGGGTTCATCCTCTCCAGGCGCACCCCCACCAGCTCCCAGTGCCCCAGCCCCGTCGCCTGCTCCATCTGATTCTTCACATGCCGGTCCCGCAACCCCAGCGCCACCGGCACTCCCTCCCCCTTCAACAGCGCCAGCACTGTGTCGAGAGTCACTATAGACGGCACCAGGTCTAGCATGTAGGCTCGCGCGGACCACCCGAACCAGTCGACGAGGGAGATGAGGGAGGGGAAGGAGGAGACTTGGGTGTTGCCGGGGGTGTAGTGGAAGGGTGAGTCGGCGGCGCAGGCGTTGTGGTCAAAGAGGTGCGTGGCGTTGAACACCTGGCCCGCCACGTTGATGTACACGTTGTGCAGCAGCAGCACCTGGTGGGGATGCCGGGGAGAAAAGGGAGAGATGGGCGAGGGGAAGAAATACGGGTTAGGTGCACTTGTGGCGTTGAACATGTGGCCCACCCCGTTGATGAGCACGTTGTGCAAGAGCAGCACCTCAAGGGTGTGCAGGTGTGGGGAGGGAGATTGGGGGGAGAAGGGGAGGGGAAGGAGCAATTAGAGGTGTGTGGCGTTGAACACCTGCCCTGCCACCTTGATGTGCACATTGTGCAGCAGCAGCACCTGGTGAGGAGGGCGGCGGAGGGGAAGGGGGGGTCAAGTGAGGTTGTGTGGCGTTGAACTCCTGGCCCTCCACGCTCATGTACACGTTGTGCAGCAGCAGCAACTGGTGGGTGGGGGTGACGAGGAAGAGAAAAGGGATAACGGCTGGAAGAGGAAGGGGAAGGTGTGTGGGAAGGTTCAAACCCTGCCCTGTCACGTCCACATACATGTTGGGTAGCAACAGCACTTGGCTGGGGGGTGGGAGGAGGATTGGGAAAGGCGGGTAGGAGTGGGGGTTAAGGGGGAAAGGGGGCAGTGCAGGTGTGTGCGGAGCGGATGAGCAGCGGCCCTGCTGTATTGGCATGCACACTGTGTGGCAGGAGTCGCACCTTTCGGGTGTGGGGGTCAGGGAGAGGGAGGTGGAGTGGTTTAGGGATGGGTGAAGTGAGGTGAGGATGGGAGAGGGAGGTGTGTGTGCAGGTGAGCGCTGTACACTGGCGCGCCCGCAGTGTGTCGGCCGCTCCCGCCCGCAGTGATGGGTGGGATCAGGGGGGCGGGTTGAAGGAGCGGAATGCGAGCCACGTGGGATGGGGAGGTCGGGGAGTGAGGGGACGCGTGGGAGGGATAGAGAGGTCAAGGTGGGCGGGAAAGGGGAAAGGCGAGGGAAGGCGGGGGGGTGTGTTTGTTGTTTGTTTATCTCGCCAGGGAATGTGTAGCATCAATTTCGCCGTTCTATTAATCCAACTGACTCCTCGCCTCAACAGGGAGCCAAAACCTGAACCCCAAACCCTGACCCACCAGCAGCACGTTCCCCTTCGCGGATGCAGTACGCAGCACAAGAGCGCACAAGAGCGCACAAGAGCGCACAAGAGCGCACGTTGAGCGCACATGAGCGCACATGAGCGCACGTTCCCCACACAGTCCCTTTCGCGTATCACACGAGCCCACTGCGCTTCTCTGCATCCCTTCCTCTCCGTTCAGCCCGTTGCGTTGCAACAGCCCCAGCCCGCCTACTCGCATCTCATTCTTTGCTGTATGGGGCGTTGTGGAACGGATCACTTGCCTTGATGATTTTCCGTTCATTCACAGAGTAATAGCTGTTGCCTTTATTCCCCCTTCCCCCTCCCTTCCCGCCCCTTCCTCCCCCACCCTTCTTACCCCACCCCCACCTCCCCAGTCCCCCCTCCTTCCAACCCATTATCCGGAACGCACCTGCGCGGACCACGGTTCGTGGGGCTGCTTGTCGGCCTCCTGCATGCACCCGGCGTCCGTCGCATTCGCACAATTCGCCGGTAACGACGCTGGCGAACGTAACACGTCTTCGATCGGGCTTCGCCAGCACGACGCGATGCCCGGGAAGCCCTCGTAACCGTACTCGAACGTCGGGCACTCCGGACCGCGACTCGCCTCGAAAGGTGGATCTTCCTTCTTCGGATTGTTCTCCTGGAACCGCGTCGCGTCTAAGTACACCCGCTGCAGGTTCTTCTTGTCGATGTTAACCTTTAGAACTTTGCGCTTCGGCTTCGCTATTGTCAGATCCGGATACTTGCCGTTGAGCGGCGCCCACCGCGCTAAAGGCGCTTTCACTCGTCGCTTTTTCCGTTTCATCGTTGCGGGTTTCGTTACACCGGCGGGCTGCGTCACGCTGACGATCACATTAGCAGCAGGTCGCGGCTTCTCGCTGATCGCATCTGACTTCTTATCTCCCGTTGACAATCCATCGCCCCGCAAACCCGCAGATTTGACAAGCGGTGCATCGTCTGCTGATCTACGCGCCGCCTCATTCCTCGTCGTATCTTCTACCGCGTCGGCCACCGCCTTGCCTCGCTCGCTGGGGGTTTCTTGCGTGTTCTGCGCCGCGCTCACCGCTCCCAAATCCTCCGAATCCAGCGTCCCCGCGAGATCTGGTTCCCCCCCCTGCCCGTCCGTTCCTGATAGCGATATTTGCGGCACCGGTTCCTCATTGGCCAATGAATCGCTCGCAAATACGTCTATAGATGTCGCCCCCGCGGCTCCAGTACCGAGGAGGTCTCTAACGAGGGGTTTGTCCCCGCCGCCGGCTATTTTCGCGCGTCGACTGAGGGCGTTCAGCGACGACGCGATGGCTTCGGAGCGCGAGGAGAGGACCCAGAAGAGGACGGCGGCGGCGAGGAAGAGCAACAAGAAGCGCATGCAGCTGCCGCCGCCCACGCTCGCCACCGTGCTGGGCTTCCGCTGCACTCTCTGCGGCGCTCGCCGCTTCGGCTTCATGCTGGAGCCGGATCAATGGCTCGGATTGAACGAATGAAAAACCAACAAACTAATTTGGAGGTCTTGATTTCGATAGTATTGAATGGTTGAGAGCTGGGCGCTCCAATTGCAACTACGGGTGATGTTGAATGATGTTGGGCGGACAAGCATACAGAACTATGGATGATGGATTTGAAATGTGTAGCGATGATGACTTGGAATCTTGAAGAATTTGAATCTACGGCATGGCTGCCTCTCCTCGCTGGTTTTCACATGTCCCGGCCACCTGACCAGCTGGGCCAATGATGTGCCTTTCCCTCAACGACTTTCGACCACCAAACATCCGAATTCCTTGCCTGTGCCCTTGGTTCGGCATTGATTTGATAAACTGGCTTGGCCTTGGTTGGCCTGTTCTTTCTGGTCAGGTTTCAGCTGATGTGCCGCAAGGCAGCCTGCAAGGAGGCTGTGCTGTGCAGTGTGGTATGGAGCGCAGGTTCGGTACGAAGTGGCCTTCAGGGGGGGCTTGGGCAGGTGGAACCGACTCTCCTGTCAATAACGCATGAATCACAGGTGTGACTGCAGGTGCCGCAGGTGCCCATGCCGACCAGCGAGGCGCGAAAAATAGCCACGTGGAAGATCTGGAAGAAATTCATTGGCTCTAAGGAAATAACACTAGGAATGTCTTCGTTATTGTTTACAGCTGTTTTTTACAGTCTGGTGCTGCTGCGTTCCGCTACGATGCCCTTGTACAAGCGTTTTTTTTGGGAATGGAGGCGATATTTGGTTACCAAAGTTGCCAAAGTCAAGACGAACCGCCGCCGTCATCTGATCGCGCGTCGCTACATTGGTTGGACCATAAAGTGAGGACGCGGTGAAAGTGGAGAACAAGGGGCTAGCATGTACAAAACAGCAAGAACAAGGGCCAAGCGTGTGCAAAATAGCAGGAACCCGTGTCCTCTGTAATCTCGTTTCCATATCTCCATTCCTGGAGCACTCTTCGCTATGCGTTCATTCGAGTTGGCGCTTGAGCTAGACCTTTCCTAGCTGAGGCCTCTTGGAACAGGTGCATATAGTGACCTCGTAGCGAATAAGGGCCGCAATAAATATAACGACATGGCGGGCTAATAGCGCAGCCAGGGCTCGCCTTATCGAAGCCAGTGGTAGGGATGGTTCATCGAAGCTTCGCAGCGCAGTCGTTAAGCGTCGCTCTCTTCGTCGCATTATCTGTCGTTCAGCCCATCCCGGCGGCCGTCGCGGTGAGCCCGCTGGGCCTCGCCGCCATTCAGCGGCACTCGCGGCTGGTCGCGCGCTCGCGGTCGCATCGCGGATGCAACTACCTCAAGGGAAGGTACTACTGGACAGGCTTTGCCTCGTAAAAGTGAAGAGTCGAGTCACCTTGAGCGCAGGAAGCCAGGGTTGTGGCGTGAGCGGTAGCTTTTGCGCGCGGGAGGGATTTCTGTGAGGCAGATCGAGCCGGTAACACTGCCACGAGGTCCGACTCTATCCACTGGATATAAATCGAGGGAACTTGCTGTGGGTTACCCGAGGTATCCTGCATTGGGGGTGAATTGTGTCCCCTCGCAAGTTTTGAGACGCACATGGAACATTCGAGGTAGAGCAGCCTTGTTACGATCCCCACATTGTCGTTGCTGATGTTCCTGTCTTCCCTTAATGCAATACACTGCCTCGGTGCACCCTCAATGTACGTTTGACCCTGGTGATCCTTGTTCATTCTCCCTGACCCTGTTTGGCCTCCTTGTTGACTCCCGTTGACTCTGTTTGACCGCAGCTGGGTGGACACGTCAACCATACCCGGCTACAGGCCGCCCTACAGCGCCAGCTGCTCTGAGTTCAGTTGTGATGGCGTGGCCGACGGGCGCCAGAACCCCGCTAGTTTCGTGTGGCAGCCCTTCCCGCCCTGCTCCTACCAGCTGTGGCGGTACGGCATCGCACCCCTGCGTGCTCTCCTGGTCCTGGCTGTGCTCGTCCCCTCTCCATTCCAACGTACACACACCATGCGCTGTTAACCCCACCGCCGTCTCTCTTTACGCTCACGCCCCTAGCTCCGCATCTCCTCTCTCCCTCGCTCCCCTGCCCAATAGGATGCAGCCACGTGTACTGCTGGAGAGGTACCGCAACAGTGTGATAGCATTCGTGGGCGACTCTTTGAACGACAATCTCGTGGCCTCCTTTCGCTGCACTCTCGCTGCTGTCACGCCCTTCCAGGTGCGCCCTGCCCTTCCAGGTGCGCCCTGCCCTTCCAGGTGCGCCCTGCCCTTCCAGGTGCGCCCTACCCTTCCAGGTGCGCCCTGCCCTTCCAGGTGCGCCCTGCCCTTCCAGGTGCGCCCTGCCATTCCAGGTGCGCCCTGCCCTTCCAGGTGCGCCCTGCCCTTCCAGGTGCGCCCTGCCCTTCCAGGTGCGCCCTGCCCTTCCAGGTGCGCCCTGCCATTCCAGGTGCGCCCTGCCCTTCCAGGTGCGCCCTGCCCTTCCAGGTGCGCCCTGCCCTTCCAGGTGCGCCCTGCCCTTCCAGGTGCGATCCCTGCTGCCCACTGTCCATGCGTGGGGCAGCGCCTTGAGCGCAGGTGCCGCTGCACCGGTGACGCACCTGTCTGCTGGTTGCTCCACCATCCCATTTCCTGCCCACTCCGCACCGTCCCACCCCTCACTCCCCCCTCTCTTCTTCCCTCTCCTCCCCTTCCCCCCTCTTCTATCCCCCTCATCTCCCGTCCCCGGTCCCGTGCGCTGGCAGCACGTGCGGGTGAGGGTGGGGGGGAGGCGGTACCGCAACGCAGTGGAGCTGCCGGCATATAACCTCACCGTCGTCACCATCGCCAGTGGCAAGCTCACCCGCCTCGTCAACTCGGTACGCAACATGCCTTCTGCTGGAGCCCCACTCACCTGTCCCATGCGCCTGCTTCTTTAGCCACCTCAGTGTCACTTTACCCCGCTCACACTACTTCTCCCCTCTGCAAAACTCGTCCTCCGTCCGCGTCTCTCCTCTCCTCCGCCCGCGCGTCTATCTCCCCCACTCTCTCTCCCCTCTTGCAAGCAGAGTTCAGCGAGGGTGAGGGTGGACGGGCAGTGGGCGGCCATACTGCCACTGACAGCAGCCATGGTCTTCACAGCCGGCCACCGCTTCTTCCACCAGGTCTGCTGCTCACACGCAGCAACGCCTGCCATCCTCCTCTGCCGTACCTCCCATCCCACCCCTCCTGTTCGTTTTGCCAGCACTCTGCCCCATCCTCTTGGCTGCTGCTGCTCTGCTTGTTTCATGGATACTATGCTCATTATATCTCAGCCCCCAGTTTCTCTACACACACAAACGTATCCAATTCATGCCATCCCCTCTCCACGAGAATCAATTCTTACTGGTATAAATATCCAACCCATTGACCACCCCTCACAGAACTACATGTCGCCAGTACTGAAGCTGCGCAAGTCCCTCAAGGCAGTGCGTGACTATATCGAGCGCACCAACTACCCTGGCGTCCCCCTCTTTGTCTCCTACTCTCCGGCACACGACCGCACCCAGTGCAAAACGGCAGGCACTCCTCTAAACAACATCACCGCCGCAATCCAAGGGGGCGATACCCGTGCCATGGCGGTTCTAAAGGAGCAGCGGAAGCTGCTTGCAAGGTCACGGATGCGGCTGGTGGAGATAACGTACATGAGCATGCTGCGACCGGACGGGCATTTGAATCGAGCGGTGAGCGGCAGGGAGAAGGACTGCAGCCACTGGTGCCTGCCCGGCGTGCCTGATGCCTGGTCTGATGTCATCTACTCCATGCTCGTGCCATAGTGCTCTGCTCTGCTGCATCGGTTGCATTGCATGCTTGTGGTGCCAGTGCTGCTACATCTGTTGCGTACTCTGTAATTCATTTGTTACCACTTTCGTTCAAGCTCGGAGGATTGTCCGACAACACGGGTGACTGCCAACCAAGCCAATGCAGTGTTACGCGCACATTCAACACCATTACCAGCACCATTACGCTCTGTAATTGGTCGCGCGTGTGGACAGTCGTGCAACTGAGTATATGATCGGGGATTCATATCTCTATGCGCGAATTGGTCAAGAATTGGACCGAAAATTAGCGAGACTGTTCGCCCAAGATGATCGTGTTGATTATTGTCGTGTATTCAAACGGTGACGTGGCCGCCCTCGCGCACGTCACCCAGCCGAAAATTTCGGGCGGAAAATCACGCGCCACGTTTTTGCGGGAAGAGACACGAACGACGTAAGAAAAGCAGGGCTAAAAACCGGTTTTGGGTAATGTGCCGGATTAAAAAAAAAAAAGCCAGAGGAAACCTCTGGCAAGACCACTCGAGCAATTATCATCGAACTGTCCGACCACGGTAGCAATTCGAGGCCACGTGTGCAACGGCAAATCACCGTTTCCGGGTCTGGAGAAATTCTCTCTCGAGCCTGGGTTTGTTCGGGTGAACGAAGCGGATGGGGGCAAATTCGCGGATTGACTGGGGGAGCAGCTTTCATGTCAGCGCAACGCGAATCAGCGCAGACAAAAAACCCTGCAAATATGCAGCCATTATTATTAACTTGCTACACGGCATGAAAAGGTAGCTGCGTACACGAAATCGATTGCCATAAGTTCTTTCTAATGGCTGCGTCCATTCATGAATGGGTCATAGCAATGTCAACACTTCAACATTTGTATTGCGGTATGTTACACTCTCCATCAAGGCTTGGGAAATATTCTTTCAACAAGGAGAGCCTAGCTGTTCATACGGTATTATGCGTATCCATGGCAAGGGCGTGAACAGAAGACGGTCCTTTCTCCATATACTCCTCCCTGCTTATCGCCCATGCGGATAAGAAAGAGCTCGTCTGCACTCCCAAAGGCACATGAAAGGAAAAGGAGAGAAAGCAAACATTTATATCGGGCACACATATGGTCGTAACGAAGTGATACAATAACCGCCAGCAGCACTCACAGTGGCTATGGTCCTACCGCCCATCATGCGCCATACGGCCCCACTGCCTTCACAGAGAGTTGGCCGGTGAAGGGCGGTGGGAGCAGCTGCTGCAGCTCCAGATGCAGCCGCTCTGTCAAGCAGACCAACGGAAAGGGGGGGAGCAGATCAACGGAAAGGGGGGGAGCAACCAACGGAAGGGGGGAGCGAAGAATAAGGAGCCGATGAGCAGAAGCGGATGTTAAGCTGGCTAAAAAAGAGGGATAAGAAGGAATTTGTGAAAATATATATAGCCCTAAAAACCAACTTGGGGGATCTATCAAGGAGCACCTCACACAGCCCCCACCTGCTATCCCTGGCAGCGCAGACGTGCCCCCCGCCACCACCACGGTGCCGATCGCCTCCGCCACATCCTCACTTGCCAGCGGCGCAGGCACTCGCCCCCACACCCCCCCACCCGCCCCTTCTGCCCCTTCCCCACTCCCCTTTTCCCTCGTGGCACCCTCACCCCCACGCCCCTCCCCAGGCGCTCCTCCCCACTCCTCCGCCATCTCCCCCTCCTCTGCAGCCGCTGCGCCTCTCGCGTGGCTGTGCCTGGCCTTCAAAAACGCCTTCACCCATTTTACACACTCCAATATGCACCGCGCCACTGTCAGCTGTATACCCCCGCAGCCACTGGTGAGGAAAAGGGGAGGGGGCACGAGGAGTTTGAGAGGGTGTAAAGGACGCATGAGTGGGGAGAAAGACGGAAACATGAGGGAAATCAACGGGAATGGCAACAAGTGACAATAGGGTTGTAATAGAGGGAGCATGTACGGCAGCAAGGAGAGGAGCACGAATGCGATCACAGGATAAAACAGCGGGACCACTTTGACCACGTTGACCACATTGACCACATTGACCACGTTGACCACATTGACCACTTTGACCACGTTGACCAGGGAGGACGCACATGCGGCAGAGTTGAGGTTGAAAGAGCACTTCAGGGGCGAGGAAGCGCTCCCTGGCGAGAGTGAAGGCGCCCTCCTCTAGCACCTCACACGTGCCCCGCGCCCCCCTCTCCTCGCCCCTCATGGCCACCTCAAAGTCGCGTGCCACAAAGCACAGCGACTGCAGGCGGGGAGGGGTTTGGGGTGACAAGCAGGAAGGAGTGGGGTGCAGAATGAAGACGTGCAGGAAGTTATTGCAAGAGGCTACGAGCCATGAGGAACTAAGGGGGGTGAACGGGAGGAATTACAAAGAAAAAAGGAGAATAAATTTTGGATGCAAGGCCACTGATTTTGTGGGACAAACCCCTATGATGGTGCGCATAGTGGACATGGGCTGACCCACCTCCCCCCCCTCGTGCAATAACTGGCTGAGGTGCCCCGTGACTCTCATGGCACCCAGCGGCAGGCAGTAGAAGGTGATTGATACAAGGTGATTGATACAAGGCGATTGATACAAGGCGATTGATACAAGGCGATTGTGTCAGAATATTATGTTTCTCTAGTCTGCAGTGGGGTACTCTATAGTGAGTACAACCCTTTTAGGGTTTGCTATATGTATCCCAATGTTTGCTAGTGAACCCCTTCTTCTCTCATTTCACATTCCTCATTTCTTCACATGCTATCAGAGCGTCTACGCTCTTGGCCTGTGGGCCCACCTAACTGCTTCCGCTGCTACTCTGTGTTCGGCACGCCCCGTGGCGTGCCCCTCGCGCTACTCTTAGCGGCCCCGTTGCCGCCCTTCCAGGCCCCTCGCGGCCCCTTTGCGGCCCCGTTGCCGCCCTTCCAGGTCCCTCGCGGCCCCTTCGCGGCCCCGTCGCCGCCCCTTTCGCAGCCCGTCGCCGCCCTTCCAGGCCCCTCGCAGCCCCTTCGCGACCCCATCGCCGCCCCTATCGGCCGTGTCGACGCCGCCAGCGGCCCCGTCGCCGACCCTAGCTGACCCGTCGCCACTCCTATCGGCCCCGTCGCCGCCGCCAGCGGCCCTGTCGACGCTGCCAGCGGCCCCGTCGCGGACCCTAGCGGCCCCGTCGCCGCTCCTATCGGCCCCGTCGCCGCCGCCAGCGGCCCCGTCGCCGCCGCCAGCGGCCCCGTCGCCGCCGCCAGCGGCCCCGTTGCCGGCCCTAGCGGCCCCGTCGCCGCTCCTATCGGCCCCGTCACCGCCGCCAGCGGCCCCGTCGTCGCCGCCAGCGGCCGCGTCGCCGCCTCCAGCAGCCCCGTCGCCGCCACTTGCGGCCCCGGCCCCGCCCCGGCCATGCCCTGTCGCCAGCCGCGGCGCACCGGGGGCACGTGCACCGCCCCCCCCCCCCCCTTTTCCCGTCGCCTGTCGAGGGGACCTGAGGGGGCCGCGTGGGGGGGGCGAGCGTCGCCCCTTCTGCCGCCTGCTTTGGCGCCCTGGGAGGCCGCGCGTCGCCCCCCCCCCCCCCCCCCCTTCTCCCCCCCCCCCGTAACCTCCCTACCCGCCATCCCGCCCTGCCCTGTGCTAGGGTTTGGGGGTGGCGAGTGGGAGGTGGCGGGTGTATGGTCTCCCCTGCTCCTCCTCCTCCTCTGTCTCCCACTGCTGCAGCTGCCGCTGAGGGGGGTGGGTGTGTGGGAGTCGACGGAGTGGTGCTAGGGGGTGGGGTGTGAGTGAACCTAGGGGTGCAGTAGGGGGTGTGTGAAATGGGGGTGGGATAGTTTGGGGAGGTTGAAGGGGGTGGCCGCCGTGAAGCCCGCAGCTCCAGTCGCCCGTGAGACCGTTGCGCCAGTCGCCCGTGAGCCCGTTGCGCCAGTCGCCCGTGAGCCCGTTGCTCCAGTCGCCCGTGAGTCCGTTGCTCCTGCCGCTCAGAGTTAGCCGCAGAGCCAGTTACTCAAGTAGCCCGTGTGCCAGTTGCTCTAGTTGCCAGTGTGCCAGTTGCTCCAGTTGCCCGTGTGCTAGTTGCTCCAGTTGCGCCGTGTGCCAGCAGCTTCAGCTGCAGCCCACTACCTCCTCTCCTCTCATAGTCCCTCCTCCTCCACACTTGCCCTCTGCGATAGCCTCTAGCTTTGCTTACATTTGTGAACTTTAAACTGTTGCTTCTAGTACTTGTGCTCAGAATGTGTGGTGACATTGTGATCCACCCAGAGCTTATTCTGCTTTGCTTGTTGTGCTGATTACACCCCACTTTGACTATGGGGGTGTGTCAGAATATTATGTTTCTCTAGTCTCCAGTGGGGTACTCTATAGTGAGTACAACCCTTTTAGGGTTTGCTATATGTATCCCAATGTTTGCTAGTGAACCCCTCCTCTCTTCTTCGTTCCTCGTTCTTTTTCACATATTGATACAAGGCGACTGATACAAGGTGATTGATACAACTTGATGGATACAACGTGATTGAATTAGGTGATTGATACAAGGCAATTGATACAAGGTGATTGATAATACAAGGCGATTGATACAAGGCGATTGATACAAGGCGATTGATACAAGGCGATTGATACAATGCGATTGACACAAGGCGATTGATACAAGGCGATTGATACAAGGTGATTGATACAACGTGATTGATACAACGTGATTGATAAAAGGCGATTGATACAAGGCGATTGATACAAGGTGATTGATACAAGGTGATTGATACAACGTGATTGATAAAAGGCGATTGATACAAGGTGATTGATACAAGGCGATTGATACAAGGCGATTGATACAAGGCGATTGATACAAGGCGATTGATACAAGGGGATTGATACAAGGCGATTGATACAAGGCGATTGAAACAAGGCGATTGATACAAGGTGATTGATACAAGGCGATTGATACAAGGAGATTGATACAAGGTGATTGATACAAGGAGATTGATACAAGGTGATTATTACAAGGTGATTGATACAAGGCGATAGATACAAGGTGATTGATACAAGGCGATAGATACAATGCGATTGATACAAGGCGATTGATACAAGGCGATTGATACAAGGTGACTGATACAAGGTGATTGATAATACAAGGTGACTGATACAAGGTGATTGATAATACAAGGCGATTGATACAAGGCGATTGATACAAGGTGATTGATACAAGGCGATTGATACAAGGTGATGTTGGGCTGAGAAAAAGCCCTTAGGATCTTTGCAGTACTAAACTCTGAGTAGGAACAATGTAATAGCAGAAGCGTTTAATGATGAGTATGTGAACCACCTTGCGCTGGTATGTGAGGGCAAAGTACATTGATTAAAGCAAAGAGATACAATCTTTTATAAGAGTACAAGGGAATATGAAAGGTTATAGCTAATAACTGTTTTGCTGTTGCGGTTCGATACAGTACGACTCAGGCAACTGCTCAATGACATCACGTGCTGCTACTGTTTCCTTTCAGTGGACGTAAAAAATCTTCCACGCGTTGTAATTATTTTCGATGCCCAGGTGTAATCCCCACTGTGCACGTTGGGAGAATCGGCCGGCTCGTGCAGCTGGGGGTCGGCAGAGAGTCAACTGGCAGGTAGGCGAGAGGTTCAGAGACAAGAACGGGGTGGTTTAAGGGAATGACTTGCATGCCGTGAGGGCGGATGGTGACGGGTGGGGATGATGCATGGACGACAAGAAAGGGAAAGGAGGAATGCAGGAACACCAGAAAGGAGGTACGAGCGCAATGGGGGAGTAGAGGGGTGAAGGAAAGGAAAGGGGGAAAAGCAAGAGCGGAAGAGGAAGACAAGAGGCGAACGGAAGTGGAAAATTATGAACGGTGTGAGGAGGGAAGAAAGGAAGGGGTGACGAAGGGATCATGGCAAGAAGGAGCACACCGCATTACGGCACAAGGCACGACATGTGTGCCCCCATACTTTGCACACACGTACGTCAGCACCACTTGAAATGAGAAGAAGTGAACGAGAGAATGTGTGAACTATGAACGAAGTGAGTACAAATAGGAAACCCTAACTGGGTTGTACCCCCTATGGGATACCCCACTATAGCCTACACAAAAAAGTAAGCTATTATGTTCTGACACACCCCCATAGGCAAAGTGGGGGAGAACAAGGGGTCACAAGACCAGTCAAGCAAAGCAAAGCAAAGCTCAGGGTGGATCACAAAGTCACCACACATTCCAAGCACAAGTTCAAGGGCCACAAGGCCAGTTCACATGCAAGATCATATATAGACATATACAAGAGTCAAGCAAGCAAGAGCAAGACTATATATATGTGAAGGTACAAGTAAGGTCAAGAAGTGAGCAAGTGAGGCAAGACAGACACAAGACCCAGCTGCGTGCAGCAACGCTGATGATCACAAGGCGCAAGTGCCTTGGTGAACACATCAGCAGTGTTGGCCTCAGAGGCCACGTATGCAAGTCGCAACTGTCCACGCTGCTGTAGCTCACGAGCAAGAAAGTAGTGGAGAGCAATGTGCTTCGTTCTGTGCTCCAGTCGCTGCTCTCGACACAAGGCCAGCATGGCCTTGTTGTCTACGTACAGGACTGGAGGAGAACGAGGCTGCTCTCCAAGGTCGGTCAGCAGGTAGGTGAGCCAGCGTAACTCCTGTGCAGCCATAGCCCCAGCGTAGATCTCAGCCTCACAACTGGAGCCGAGAACAGAAGACGAGCGGGTAGCCCGCCACGAAACAGAGCCGGAACCAAGGCTGAAGGTGTAACCCTGTGACGACCGCTGCGTAGCCTGGTCGTCAGCCCAAGAAGCGTCTGCGTGCCCAGTGAGGACCACTGGACTGCGCCCTCCAAGCACTAGCCCCATGCCCGACGTACTGCACAAGTAACGCAACACCCTCTTCGCTGCAGCCATGTGCTCTGGTCGGTGTCTCCCAGGAGCAACATAGCGTGCGAGAATGCTAAGAGGGTATGCAAGGTCAGGTCGTGTGCAGGTCATCAGGTACATGAGGCAGCCAACAAGCTCTGGATACGGGCCACTCGACTCTACGGACTCATCCGAAGGCAGAGCTGAGAGCGAGTGGCGAGTAGGCAGAGGAGTGGCCTGAGGCGAGGAGTACGTGAAGCCGAAGCGCTGAAGGACCTGCTGCACCATGTGTGACTGAGTCAGGGTAATGGTGCGGCGTGCTCTGTCCCGGGTGATCTGCAAGCCAAGGTAGCTACGCAGTTCACCCAGGTCTGTGCACGTGTGTCTCTTCTGCAGCTCGGACTTCACGTGGGCGAGTCCAGCAGTGTCAGCTGTGGCAAAGACCAAGTCGTCGACGTACACGAGGATGTAGAACGGCGGCAGCGAGGTGTCGGTGCGCAGAAACAGCGACGGGTCGGCAGTAGAAGGAGCAAACCCAAGTGCCGCGAGCGTAGTCCTCAGTGTGTCGTGCCACTCACGTGGCGCCTGGCAGAGACCGTAGACTGGACGCCGGAGACTCCACTGGGTACCAGGAGGGAAAGACCCAGTGAAGCCAGGTAGGCGACGCAGCCAGATCTCCTCGTGCAGGCTGCCCTGCAAGAAAGCGGTGCTGAAGTCGAGAGAGTGGAGCTCGTAGTCACGGTGAGCAGCAACGTGCAGTAGAACCCGAAGAGTGGTCATCTTCGGGGTGGGGGAGAAGGTCTGAAAGTAGTCAACCCCCTGCCGCTGACTGAAGCCACGAGCCACGTAACGCGCCTTGAAGACAGGCGGAGAACCCGGCGGCCGCTTCACCCTGAAAATCCACATGCCACTGACTATGTTCGCCCTAGGAGGGGGAACAGCGTCAACGTAGGTGCCTGTGGACTTCCAGGAAGCCATCTCTGCATCCATAGCTGCCTGCCACTGAGAGGAGTAGGGACCCTCTATCGCCTCCGCGTAAGAGCGCGGAGTCGGGATGTCTGGTGCATCCGGGTCTCCCTCAGGGGCTAGCAGTACAGACGCGAGATGAGGTGAAGCGACGGCCAGACACTAGAACTCCTCCTGCCTGTCCTCAAGGACGTCCGTGCCAAGGGCACACTCACCCCCGACGGACGGAGGACAGGCAGACTCAGACTCAGCGACAAGACTGGCAACGTAGTCTAGACGACAACGCGCAGCAAAGTCGACAAGCTCAGTGACAAGGGCAGACGCAGCAGACGACTCGAAGGAAGGGTCAGTGACTGCAGTAGCAAGGAGACGCGTGACAGTAGGACTGGCAGCACGAAGAGAGTCCGACTCCGGGTCGGCAAGAGCAGGAAGAGAGGAAGCAGGAGGAGAAGGCAAAGGGGCACGCAGAGGAGCAGTGGACGGACGCAGTAACATCCGGTGCGTGCCAGGGACAGGAGGAGGACGCTGACGCGGCCCGCGACCACTAGCGCGCGCAGTACAAACAGGCGACGCAGGACGAGACGCA